AGGTACAAGTAAGGACACCTGGCGTTCCGGGAACTGCGAACCTTAAAGCCCCGACCTACGATGGACAAACGACATGGACGATGTACCACCGCCAGTTTGAAGCAGCGGCTGCTGCCAATGGATGGACTGACCAGGAGAAAGCAGCGGCACTTGTCATCGCGCTGCGTGGCCCTGCCCTGGAACTCCTGCAAACTATTCCTGCAGCCCAACAGCAGGAATACCAAACTTTGGTCGCTGCACTGGACAGAAGATATGGCGACCAACATCGACGCCAACTTTACCAGGCCCAGATCAAGTCACGCCTGCAGAGATCCGGAGAGAGTCTGCAGGAATTTGAAGCAGACTTACGTCGGCTGGTACACCTAGCGTATCCTGAAGCACCGGAAGGATTTAGGGAGGAACTCGCTGCTCAGTGCTTTATCAGCGGACTGAGGGACAACGAATTACAGAGGGCGCTGCAAATATCCCGATTTTCTACCAGCAGCGAAGCACTGGTCAGGGCGCTGGAAATCGAAGCTGCATTTAGCGCCATCCCTAGACCGAAGATAAGATCGGTAACGGTTGAGGAACAGCCCGGAAGTTCTCACATACGTTTGGAGGAGATGTTTAGTAAACTATGTGAGTTACTAGTGAACAAGAGTAGCAACAACACCCAGACAGAGAGCTATAGAAGATCACAGGACATAAGGTGCTTTAGATGTGGCAGGAATGGCCACATCAAACGGGATTGCCGCGTTCAAATGCGATCCCGTTCACCATCCAGAGAACGTAGGCACCAGGAAAACTAAAATCAGTCAATACTAAGGGGCGAGTATTGACTGGGGAGAACAGAGCCCCCAGGATTTTTTCCATTAGGAGTCTGGGAAGAACCGCTGACAGTTTAGTGATCGACGGGAAGGTCAATGGTAGGAGAATCCGAATGACAGTGGACACTGGCGCTATGGTATCGTTGGTGCGGGCTAACTCAGTGCAAGGATTGAAGCTGATGCCTCTGGGAAGAAGAGTGTGTTTACGTACAGTTACGGGGGAAATGGCCGTTGTACGGGGAGAGGCTATCGTCGAACTGAAGTTAGGAAATTTGAAGTTTCAGCATAGCGTCTTAGTGGCAGATATTGAAGATGACTTCATCTTGGGCATGGATGTGATTCGTCAACATGGATTTTCGTTCGATCACCAGAGAAATATCTTAAATATTGGAAATGAAGAGTTCATGTTATCTCCAGACGAGGGACCAGGCAGAATGGATGTAAGATCAGCGGAAACTGTGGTGATACCTGGTAATACCGAGAAAATCGTATTCGGTAAAGTGGAGAAAATCGCTGGGTGCTGTGTTGGACTGGTACAAAGTAGCGACAACAAAAGGATAGGTACTTAGTAGGAAAATCATTGGTGAACACCGACAAGAATATACCGATCAGAATTGCGAATGTTTTCCCGAATTGTGTCAAGATCCAAAAGGTGACAAGATAGCCATCTGCGAACCTGTAAGAAGTGTCACCCGATGTGATGAAGTGTCGTCAGCTGTTACACAAAAGGCATCCCAAGAAACACTAAAACATCTAGAGCAGCCATGGGATCACCTAACATCTGAGGAGAAACAGAAGGCTAAGGAGTTCCTGCTAGCAAAGCATGGCAGTATTTTTTGAGAAGAACAACAGTGGAAGAACGGATTTTGTGAAGCACCGGATTAATACTGGTCATGCTCAGCCGATTCGACAACGTCTTAGAAGGGCCCCTTCCAAACAACAAGAAATGGAGACAATGGTAGATAAGATGCTAGAAGATGGAGTTATCGAAGAATCATCGAGTCCATGGTCATCTCCTGTTGTTTTGGTGACGAAGAAAGATGGTAGTACACGATTCTGCGTGGATTATAGGAAGCTCAATGACGTCACTAAGAAAGATAGCTACCCACTGCCACGTATAGATGACACATTAACAACTCTCGCAGGTTCGTGCTGGTTCTCCACTCTCGACTTAAAGAGTGGATACTGGCAAGTTGGTCTGGACGAGGACGATAAAGAAAAAGACGGCTTTTTTCTACAGGAAACGGACTATACCAATTCAAGGTCATGCCGTTTGGATTATGCAATGCTCCAGCCACTTTCGAACGTCTCATGGAGGTGGTGTTAAGAGGATTAACTTGGAAAACGTGCTTGGTTTACCTCCACGATGTATTGGTTATGGGAAGAACTTTTGAGGAGCATTTGCGAAATTTAGAAGAAGTCTTCGGACGCATACGGAATGTTCACCTGTACTTGAACCCGAAGAAGTGTAGCTTATTCCAGCGACAAGTGGAATTCTTGGGTCATGTAGTCTCGGCAGACGGAATTTACACCGACCAGAAGAAAATCGCTGCGATCAAGGATTGGCCTAAACCTCGCGACAAACATGAACTTAGAAGTTTTCTGGGTTTATGCACCTATTACAGAAGATTTGTCAAGGGATTTGCCAATATAGCTGCACCCTTACATAGACTTACAGGTGATGAAGTCGGCTACGAATGGAACACCGATTGTGATGTAGCCTTTGGAAGACTTAAGGCGGCTTTATGTTCAAGTCCTATTCTAGCCTACCCGCAACAACAAGGGAGGTATATCCTGGATACCGACGCCAGCAATATCGGCATAGGTGCAGTGCTATCACAAGTGCAAGATGGCGAAGAACGAGTGATAGAATATTACAGTCGAGTTCTATCCAAACCAGAAAGGAATTACTGCGTTACCCGGAAGGAGCTGCTAGCAATTGTGAAGGCAGTTGATCATTTTCATAAATATCTGTACGGCCAAGAATTTTTAATTAGGACAGATCATGCGGCTCTCAAGTGGCTTATGGAGATGAAACAACCTGAAGGTCAAATAGCACGATGGCTCGAGAAGCTCCAACAGTATCACTTTACCATCCAACATCGTGCTGGAAAAATGCATGGTAACGCAGACGGTTTATCCAGAAGACCCTGTCAAACCGATTGTAAGCACTGCTGTAAAACGGAACAACGTGAAGGCACTGTCATGATAAGGAGTTTTAAACTTGGAACCGATGAACAGTGGACGACGACACAATTGAGGAAAGATCAAATGGAAGATCCAGACATCGGAGCAATACTACGGCTCAAGGAAGGTAACGGCGAGAGACCACCGTGGCAGGATATTGCGGACAGAGGGCTCGTTTTCAAAGCTCTCTGGGCTCAGTGGAATTCACTGGTTATTGAGAATGGATTGTTAAAGCGCACATGGGAAAGTGCGGATGGCAGCACAGTAACAACTCAGTTACTGGTACCAAGGAAGAAAGTTACCCAGGTATTGGAAGAAATTCACGGTGGTAAAACTGGAGCCCATCTTGGGGTAAACAAGACCTTGAGCAAGCTGAGAGATCGCTTTTACTGGGTGGATTATTGCGAAGATGTCAAGAAATGGTGTCGACAATGTAAAATTTGTGCAGCCAGCCAAGGACCAAGCACTCGATCTAGGGGAAAAATGAAACAATATAACGTTGGACTGCCATTCGAAAGAATCGCTGTTGACATTGCAGGCCCATTCCCTGAAACGCACAAGGGCAACAAGTACGTTTTAGTGGCGATGGATTATTTCAGTAAATGGCCAGAAGTTTTTGCCATTCCAAACCAAGAAGCATCGACTGTAGCTGAAGTATGGTCAATAATGTCTTCAGTAGATTTGGAATTCCCTTAGAGCTTCACACTGACCAAGGAAGGAACTTCGAGTCAAGACTGTTCCAGAAGATGTGTGATCTGCTTGGTATTCACAAGACTAGGACAACAGCTTTACATCCGCAGTCTGATGGGATGGTCGAAAGATTCAATAAGACCATTGAAGAACACCTCTCGAAAATGGTGGCCGAACATCAAAGAGATTGGGATCAACACATACCGCTGTTCCTAATGGCGTATAGAAGTGCAGTTCACAACACCACCGGACTTTCACCATCGAAGATTTTATTTGGTCGAGAATTACGGTTGCCTTGTGACTTGGTGTTCGGATCACCAGACGACGGCACCACAAATGTAGAGGACTACGCGGATGAACTGAAGGAAAGGTTAATGGAAATTCATAAGGCCGTAAGAAGTAAGATTACGCTAGCCAGTGACCGGATGAAAGCTCGTTACGACCTCAGAGCCAATTCTACGGGATTTCAACAGGACGATATGGTATGGTTATATAACCCACAGCGCAAGAAAGGGAGGTCCCCAAAGTTAACTCCAGCATGGGAAGGTCCTTATACAGTCATCAAGAGGATAAATGATGTTGTGTACCGGATTCAACGCAGCCCTAGAAGTAAGATGAAAGTAGTTCATCTGGATCGATTGAAGAGATACCAGACAGGAACCTTGATCGGGACGATCAAATTTGAGAAGGGGGCAATGTCAAGAAAAATGGCGCATCCGCCAGAAATTAAAAATGTATTACTGGTTGCCTGCACAACCGCAACGTTTCCGCCAGAAATTAAAAGACTTTTTCAGGCGCCATCTTTTAGTCAAGTCGAGAAGTAAGGGAATCAGACAATGGAATTGTCTGGTATGAAGAAGTACGCTTTCCGAGAATTGGGGAAATTTCGAGAAGCAGTCAATAGAGTATATAAGCCGGAGCCATCGACAACTGAGAGAGTTTTTGAAATTTGAATATACCGCGTGGAAATTGAAAATCGGACAATTTGGTGAAGGAATCTTATAAATAGTTAGTTTGTTGTGTGTTATAAGTTAGTAATTGTGTATAAAGTGAGAAAATAAATTCGTTAAGTATTTTATCGTGAGTTTAAATTAGTGGACCCACGGAATCCGTAACAATATAAAGAAAAAAAGAAAACTTGGAATTTTAGTAAAAGTTAAATATAGCACTTAACACATACTTTAGGTTTGCACTTAAACAGAATTCCCAAGATCTTTATTCTAGGAGCTACAGATGCCCGACGCACTATTGCCGGACCCTGTATACTAGATAATAATATTTTTTTATAAAACCTTGTCTTAAATTATTAATACTTACTTTAAGGCGTCGGCTGATAGATTGACATTCAAAGATTCTATGTATATCGGGTCGCTCACTCTACCAAGGATAGTATTTAGGGTAGCGTTAATAAGAGCTTCAATTACTCCACCTAATCTGTCGCTGTCTTCATATTGTTCTAAAAACCAAGAAATAGGTACAGTTTTATTTATTAATCTATTATTTAATACAAGATCTTTCTAATTTCAAATAAAGTTGATATACAGGGTCGCTTTGATCTTTGATGTATTGAAACGGTCGATTATTAGGTGAAATATACGAGGCACCGCAAAAAGTTAAATACAAAAGTTAGAAGATTTTAAATCTATTAGCGAGTAATAAATTGAAGTATACAGGGTCGTTCATGAAGTCGTGGCACATCAAAGTTTCATTTTTTTAAATACAGGGTGAGTTTTCTACGATGTTCTCTATGGGTCTATCGGAAACTACTGGAGATAGAGAGTCGGTTAAATGGGGAAAGAATTGCAACTTTGTGGGGTCATAAATATGTGCCTTTCAGATTTTTGATAATGTTCATGGCTTACTAGATATTTCGAAAAAAAAAAACAAATTTTGGCTATTTTAAAAAAGTCCCTAATTTCATTATAATCTATTTTAGACAAAAAGTTTTCAGATAAAAGTTGAATAATAATCACATCCTTAATGAGACTGTGTTTTCCGTTTTTTTTTTCTAAAGCCTGTCGTTTTTGACATATGACACAAACTTATGTTTTTTTTTAAATGGAAACCATAGTTGGCCATGACTTCACAAAAAGCACCATTTTTAACCTTTTCAGCGATATAAGCTATAGTATGTTTTTTTTTCGAAAAATTACTGAGTTATAGCCAATTCTTATCTTTCTTGACTAATTTCACTTAGTTGGTATGGTATTCTTATTCTGTTATTTATTAAAACAGTTAAACTGTTTTATTAAACGGTTCTTTACAATTCACACTACACAAACTAAAACTTAAAAAAATAATATCACTACATATATTTTAAGGTCAGGTGATCGAGGGGGCCCATGTAATTTGTATGAGTCCACCTCTTCTTATCCCTGAGTTTGAATAATTATGATATAAATAATTTTTAACATTTCTTTATTTATGGTTAATGTCATAATGAAAGTCATGTTGGAACCACTCTATTCATGCGCAAGTCTCTATATTTAACTTTTCTAATATGTCTTGAAAACCGTTCTCTAAAAAGCGTATGTAACATATCCTCGAAAATGTATGACCAAAAAAAGTTGAACCAATAATCCTACATGCTTTTCTTCATTTGAAAAATTCATATTTACAATTTTTGGTTATTTTAATTTACAAAGTTTGGATGTGACAGTTTGATATTTCTGAGAGCAAAGACAATTGAACTAGTTTCCATGGCTAACTAAGTGAAATTGTTTAAAAATGATAAGAATTCGCTATAACTCAGTAATTTTTGGAATAAAACATATTATTGCTTATATCGCTGAAAAGCTTAAAAAATGGCGTTTTTTATGAAGTCATGGCCAACTATGGTTTCCATATAAAAAACATAAAGTTTGTGTCATATGTCAAAAATCACAGGCTTTAGAAAAAAAACACAATTTTATTAAGGATGTGAGATGTGATTACCTATAACTTTTATCTGAACAGTTTTTGTCTAAAATGTATTATAATGGAATTAGGGACCATTTTTAAAATAGCCAAAATTTGTTTTTTTCGAAATATCTAGTAAACCATGAACTTTTTCAAAAATCTGAAAGGCGCATATTTATGACCCCACAATACTGCAATTCTTTCCCCATTTAACCGACTCTCTCCGACTTTATCTCCAGTACTTTCCGAGATACCCATAGAGATCGAACATCGTAGAAAACTCACCCTGTATATATAATGTATATTACTACATATTTCAATTTTTCCTTCAATAATTCTAAGCAAAAATCGAAATACAGACAATGTACTTTAAACCAACCGTTTCCGAGTTATTGACTTTTGAAAATATCACTTAAACAATTCGATTTAATTAATTTCGATGTGTTTGGTTTGATTTAATGGTGCCATTCTGCCGAAATTGTGATACTGTTGTAATGGGTTTTTAAATTCCTATTAGCTACTAGTAAATTTAAGTATACAGAATCTCGGTCATAAAGTCGTGTCACATTAAACTGTATTTTTTTAAATGAAACCCCCTGTATATTATTGCATATTTCAATTGTTCCTTCAATTTTAAGCAATAATCGTAATACACAATGTACAGGGTGGGTCAAATTCGACGCTTTTAAACGGAAACACCCTTTTCTATAGGAGATAGACGAAAACTAATATCGGTGTCTGGAGCTCAATTTTTGTCAAAACCATGATGGTGAAAACCGCATATCGATATCTGTTACCGTTTCGGAGTTACGGGGTGTTTTTCAAACATATGTACTTTTAACAAATCGCTGTTACTTTTTTGCTATGGAAAATTCTGTATTTTTATGAAAACATTTCCAAAGCACCTTTTTAAGTAGAATTTAATGGTTTAAGTATAATTTTTTTAAAATTAATAATTTAAGAGTTATTAACAGAAAATTTGATTTTTTATATGGGACCCCTGTATATTTTTAATATATTGAAAATAATTTAAAATTACCTTTCCAAAAATATAACACAGTTGATATTTTGCTCGATTCCTCTTCGAGATATATAGTATATAAAAATTCGCCCGCTTTAAATGAGTAGGTTTTGAAAGGCACCGGCTGTAATGCAAAAAAATCTAGCTTTGAGCATCAATTAAAACGAAAATAATATTTGCTATGAGAGATTCAGAATTTTATAACTATTTAAAATATATTTAACCAACATCAACACACATTTAAACTATATCTAATAACAATAAAACTAAATAGCAAACCAAGACATGAGATTTTGCACAGGTGTTCGACATATCGACCGTCTTCTGTTATGGACAGACGGGGCAGTTTTTGAACATTTCACGCGGAATTCATTAACTCAGTGGGGGTGAAAGATACCCTCTCATAACTGTTAAGTATTTCTAATTCTTATCTAGATTATAAGGAAGAATAAGGAACCTTTATTTTTCCGCAAATATATCCATAGGATAGATCCATGGGCACTAAGTCAGGCGGCCTCGACTGCCAACGGCTCGAATCTTGGTTAGCTATTCAATTATTGTTGAAATTGGATGCAAAAATTTGCTGATAACTTCAGCGCTCAGAAGCGGTGCGTCGTCTTGCTGGAAAAATATGTTTTCGAGTTGCATTAAGGGCATATCATCAATAAGGGGTCCAAAGCCTACTAGTTAAAAGTGGCGAACTATTAAAAATTTTATATTTCGAAGGGGATTATAACAAAATATCAAGTGTGCTATATTTTTGGAAAGGTAATTTTAAATTCTTTTCAGTTAATTCAAAATATAGAGGGTGTCCCAAATAAAAAATCAATTTTTCTGTTGATAACTCCTAAATTAATTTTAAAAAAATTATACTCAAACCTTTAAATTCTACGTAAAAAGGTGCTTTGGAAATGTTTTCATAGAAATACAAAATTTTCCATAGCAAAAAAGTTACAGCGATTTGTTAAAAATGCACATTTTTGAAAAACACCCCGTAACTCCGAAACGGTAACAGATATTGACGTGCGGTTTTCACCATCATGTTTTTGATGAAAATTGAGCTCCAGACACCGATATTAGTTTTCGTCTATCTCCTATAGAAAAGGGTGTTTCCATTTAAAAGCGTCGAATTTGACCCACCCTGTACATAAATTGAAGAATTGAAGTGTTAAAAGAAAATTTTGTAAATTCTAGACTTGATATACTCTCATTTTATACATGTATAAATGCCAACTTGAGAACTAATGTCAAATATTATTAAGTATCACAGTTTCGGCAGAATGGCATCGTTAAATGAAACTGAACATATCGAAATTAATTAAATGAAATTGTTTAAGTGATATTTTCTAAAGTCAATATGTAACTCGGAAACGGTTGGTTTGAGGTACATTGTGTTTATTTCGATTTTTGCTTAGAATTGAAGGAAGAACCGAAATATGCAATAATATACAGGGGGTTCCATTTAAAAAAATGAGACTTTGATGTGCCACGACTTTATGATCGAGTCTGTATACTTAAATTTATTACCCGTTAATAGATATTTCTAAACCCTATAACTTTTATATTTAACTTTTTGCGGTACCTCCTATATTTTACCTAATAATCGACACCGTTTCCATACATAACAGCGACCCTGTATTTGAATATGGATAAGAAATGTGCCTGGAAGAAATATAAACCTCGAATTTTCGAAACACGGCAATTGAACATATTTAATTTTTTTTGTACCGCTTTTAATTTTGAATTTCCGATAAAATTCACATTATCTTGATGCTTTAAAAAATGTCAGTAATGTATTGTCACGTGTTATTTTAAGTGTTGATATTTTTATCTTAGTAAAGAATTAAATTTAGACGTATGTCATTAAATGCCGATTCGCAAGAAAAAATAAAATAGCGTAAACTATTCATGAAAATGAATAACTTGTCTTTAAAACAATTATAGCTCTATTTTAAAAATCGCACAGGCTCAACTGAAATCAGTTTCGGAAGAAATATTTGTTTATTTAATATTTGGAAGCCTTTCCAAATAGAAAGTCAGGAAAATGTTTCTGCGGAAATGCATAATTTTCAGTTTTTCAACTTTACAATAGCTGAAACCAGTTACATTTTTCTAAACTAAATACGCAAATAACTTGTGTACCTATTTGATGTTTTGTTGTTTTTTTATAAGTGATTTCAGCTAAAAGAATCATTCACGAAAGAAAATATAAACCTCGAATTTTCAAATCACGCAATTGAACATACGATAATTAATTTTTTATACCGCTTTTAATTTTGAATTTCCGATAAAATTCACACTATCTTCAAAGCTATCTTGATGTTTTAAAAAATGTCAGTAATGTGTTGTCACGTGTTATTTTAAGTGTTGATATTTTTATCTTAGTAAAGAATTAAATTTAGACGTATATCATTAAATGCCGATTCGTAAAAAATTAAAATAGTAAATATTTGTTTACTTAGTATTTGGAAGCCTTTCCAAATAGAAAGCCAGGAAAATCTTTCTACGGAAATGCATAATTTTCAGTTTTTCAACTTTACAATAGCTGCAACCAGTTACACTTTTCTAAACATAAATACGCAAAAAACTTGTGTACCTACTGGATGCTTTGTTGTTTTTTTTTTATAAGTGATTTCAGCTAAAAGAATCATTGACATTATCTTTTATACTAAAAAAATATTACTGAAATTTATTATCTAGACCATACATCTTTTCCGTTATTATAACAGCACTTTCAGATGGAGTGGATGGTTTTTGTGCTGCTTGTTTTTTCAAGATAGCCGTCAGAGGAAATCATCCGGACGGAGCATACGCGCCCATGTGAAATTGTTCATTAAACTCATGAAACTCTGGCGGACGCTCCGCTCCATCTAAAAGCGCTGTAAATGCCTTTTTATATGTTGAAGTAGACAGATAAATAAAGTATTAAGAATAATAATGTTAATTGATTTTGTTGCTTTACTTACCAATATTTCTCGTGAAAATGGAGCCAAAAAGGAAGCAGCTAATTAAAAGTGCACTAAATAAACGAGCCATTTTTTAAAATTCAAGTTTAATCAGACTAAACTACAAAGGTACAAAAATCAAAGTAAAGTAAAACGTAGTTTTTATACAATTAAGCTTGACAAAATTATTTGATAAGATGAAATGTATCGAAAATAAACACTTGAGATTAACAGAATTTTTTTCTATTATTGAAACTAATTTCATAATTTGTTCGATCCACCTTTCGAAAAACGTTTCTGTAATTAATAATTAATGCTATTAACTGATAGTATTAAAAATTACCAGGTGTGGAAGCTAATGAAAACGATAGCGTTATTTGCAGTTCAAGACAAAGCCACAGGTGTTGATCAGTAATCACAAAATGTGACTTTTGAGGGTAAATTACGGCGTCGATGACACCAAAACTAGAAATATGAACACAATTGCTGGAAACATATACAGGGTGTCCCAGGCTGAGCGTGCATTAGAAGTTTCTAGAGAACTACAATATCTTGATCGGAGATTTTTTGCACATTACTGTTTCAGAATGAGATCTATCGATTAAAAATATTTTCAATATGGCGGCACTTCCGGAAATACCGGAATTTGACAGCAACTTTCTTATTTTAAATGGATACCCCGATTTTTTGTTACATACTTAAATTCTCTGTAAAATTTCATGAATTTTGATATCAAACACTTTATATCTAACATTAACCGTTTTTGAGAAAAAAACTACCTGTCAAAAAAATCGGTATAACCTAAACGACAAATTTATTGAATACCACAGCCACTGTGGTATAAAGAGAAGACATGTGGCTATCTACTTCAAAATTTAAATTATTCGTTTGTCGTATAGTACTGACCGTAGCTGTGATGGAATTTAGTGTTGGGAAAATTCGAATTAAATAATACGACTAATTCGATAGTAAATTAAAACTAACTAATTCGAATTATCTTTTTCGATATATCGAGATAAAAATTAGTAGTATTTTATATTATATCTGTGGTAACCGAATTACAAATGAACATAAAACATAACCTCTTATGGACAAATACGAATATTAGTAATTAGTATAGTACTATTAGTAGTATTCTTTCGTTCTGAACGAACTGAAAATTTTCACTTAAACTGATTTATAAAGGGAATCGACAAAGAAAGGAACGGTCCGATATAGAAAAATCCAGAAATCATTGTTATTTCCTATACCACGTAGGAATAAATCAGTTTAAGTGAAAATTTTCATTTCGTTCAGAACGAAAGAATACTAGTATTATTTGGTTCATTTCCATCTCACCCAAACTTCACCGAACACTAAAATTAATTTTCTTCTTTTATCTAAATAATTATTGATTGCAACTGATAAAATAAAAAGAAATACAAACCGCACGTAAACAAGGACATACTTATATCGTTTTAGAAGAAGCTTTTATTTTAGATGAGCTTTTCAATAGGAATTGAAACAATCATAAACACGGCACTTTTAAATTTAAAACTTTAAATTATGGTTTTATTTATTAAACGGCTTCGGCACAGTTAATAGAATACATTGAATAAAGAATTTATTTTTTTATTTTTTATTCAGTGATAGAATATAGGTATGGCAATGGTTCAGAATTTGTTTAAAATAGCCCCTAGACGAGCACTAGCTGGGACGAATTTATTTTTAGGTTAAATTTATAATACTACTAAATAATTCGAATTATTAATTCGATTGTGAAATATGAATTATTACTAATTATTCGATGGTGAAAATAATTCGATTATTCCCATCACTAATGGAATTGAGCAATAATTAAAAAATTATCATAAATAATTTTTTTCAAATGGAAACTCCCTTTTTTTATTTCACCAGTGAAAAGGTTTTTCAATTCGTTACTTTTTGATTATACATATTTCTATACCTAAAACAAATCGTTTTTAAGTTATATAAGATTTAGTTTTAAAGCGTATTTTTTCTTGATTTTATCTAGCTTCTTTTGACATTAAGTGTCAAACCATCAGACAATTTATTTCCTTCTGTCAAAAAAGTAATTATTTCAATTTCATATATTATAAATACTGCTGGTAAAACTGTATAAAGTGTATTTATAAAAATATATCTCGTATTTTAATGATAGCTAATGGCAATATGACATGGCCAGATATAGTTTTACATCGCGTGACGTTTAAAGTCATAAGCTACTGGTTAAAAAAACAAAAAAATATACCCCTCTAAAACTAAATCTTAAATAACTTAAAAACGAGTTATTTTAGGTATAGGAACATGTATCATCAAAAATTAACGAATTAAAAAACCTTTTCAGTAGTGAAATAAAAAAAGTGGATTTCCATTTGAAAAAAATGATTTATGATAATTTATTAATCGCTCAATTTCATGACAGCTCCGGCCAATATTATAGGATATTCGAACTATTTAGTTTTTGAAATAGATAGCCACATGTTTTCTCTTTATGCCACAGTGGCTGTGGTAATCACTATATAAATTTGTTGTTTAGGCTATAACCCCCCCCATTTTTTGACAGGCTGATTTTTTCTTCCAAAAATTTTAAATATGTTTTTTTTTCTCAAAAACAGTTAATGTTAGGTATAGAGTGTTTGACATCAAAATTCATAAAATTTTACCGAGAATTTAAATATGTAATAAAAAATGGGGGCACCCATTTAAAATAAGAAAGTGGCTGTCAACTTCCGGTATTTCCGGAAGTGCCGCCATATTGAAAATATTTTTAATCGACAGATCTCGTTGTGAAACAGTGATGTGCAAAAAATCTCTGATCTAGATATTGTAGTTTTCTAGAAACTTCTAATGCACGTTCAGCCTGGGACACCCTGTTTACCTGGGCATACGAGGCTTTGGGCGAAGCTGAACATCGATAAAACTAAAGTAATGTGCACTCCCCAGGAAAATCACAACAATGTTATAAAAATCGGAGCGGAATTCAATTACCTCAGCAGTTTGCTTTCGGAAAAGGCCGATATCGACTCTGAAATTGAGCACAGAATTAGCAGCGCCTCAAGAGCATTCTGAAAATTAAAAGACAGGGTTTTCTACAATCAATGACTTGAGCACAAAAACGAAACTTGCAGTGTACCGAGCAATTATTATAATCCCCACCATGTTATATGGAAGCGAAGCCTGGGTACCGTACCGCCGGCACATGAAAGCTACAGAGACGCCTTAGACTAAACTGTTAAGAATCAAATGGTTCCACTATGTCCAGTGGCCGATACAGGGGGTGCCCATTGCCCCCTCTCCCGTAATGGCCATAAATTGGGTTAAATATTAGGCTTTTGGGTTGAATGCTTGGTTGATATTCTACATTACTTTTATTTAGGCCTCCCTGAAATAAATTCCTGTATACGCCCCTTACTATGTGTCAAATGTATACTTCCTTGAAAAAGTTAGTTGCGAGTGCGCTGAAGTCATGCTTACTAAATCCCGCTTAAGATGGGCTGGTCACGTATGCAGGATGCAAGAAAACCGCCTACCAAATCTCTTCTTTACGGCGAGCTTGTATATGGTAAGAGGAAACCCAGTGGACAACTCAAAATATTTTCCACGAAAATTTAATGCTGATAAGTATGCAGAATCAGTGGAAGGATGCAGCGCACAATAGAACGCATTGAAGGAGAATTGTGAACTCAGACGACAACCAAGAAGTAAAGAGTTTGTTATTTTACAAATATTACTTTTAAGTTGTGAACTGTTATTATACTTCTAAAAATAATGTTTGATTACCACAGCCACTATCTATTTCAAAAATTAAATTGTTCGAATGTCATATAATAATGGCCGTAGCCGTAGCTGTCATAGAATTGAGCGATTTAAAAATGATCATAAATCATTTTGTTCAAATGGAAATACTTTTTTTATTTCATTAGTGAAAAGGCTTTTCAATTCGTTACTTTTTAACTATACATGTTCCTATACCTAAAATAAATATTTTTGAGTTATTTAAGATTTAGTTTTAAAGGGTATATTTTTCTTGATTTTAACCAGTAACCTATTACTTTAAACGTCAAATGATGTAAAACAATAGATCTGGCCATAAGGGCCATGTCATATTGTAACGCTTTGTTCAAAAAGCAGTATCATTTTCGAGCCAACTTTTTGGCGCCGTTTTTTTCGATCATACGGAATATTATTAATATCACAGATTAGGTATCCTATAAGTATACAGATAAAAATCTTGTCCCTAATTCGTGGTACGAAACTTGTTTTTTTATGACGATGAGCAAACGAGTAAATTTTCTTGTGCGCAAAAATAAACTCCCGTTTAAACAGCGTACTCACTGGGCCGGCCACAAGGCCGGTCAGGCGCTGTGCACAATTTTAGAGGCCATAAGTGGGCGTGCTTGTGCGCAAACTAGTAACCTAACTAGTGCGCGACTCCGAAAATTGGAACCACGAAAAACAATGCTTTTGACAATAAGTTTATAATCTGCCTGTATAATCTGTGACAATATTAACTATATCACAATATCACTAAAGAGCGAAAATACGAGATATATGTTTATAAATACACTTTTTAAACTCTTAAGGCGAGCAGGTACTATAGGAAATTCAAATAATTCATTTTCTGACAGATGGAAATAAATTGTCTGACCGTTTGACACTTAATGTCAAAGGAAGCTAGATAAAATCAAGAAAAATATACGTTTTCAAACTCAATCTTAAATAATTTAAAGTGATTTATTTTAGGTATAGGAACATGTATAGTTAAAAAGTAACGAATTGAAAAACCGTTTCATTAGTGAAATAAAAAAGTGCCCATTTAAAATAAGAAAGTTGCGGCCAACTTCCGGTATTTCCGAAAGTGCCGCCATCTTGAAAATATTTGTAATCGATAGATCTTGTTGTAAAACAATGATGTGCAAAAAGTCTCCGATCTAGATATTGTGGTTCTTTAGAAACTTCTAATGCACGCTCAACCTGGGATACCCTGTATGTATCAAGTTATTACATTAAATAATATTAGTACGTTATTTCATTAAATGTTTATATTTTTATAATCAAAAAATTAAATAGGCATATACCGTACGATCGAAAAAAACCGGCGGCGGCGACCAGTTGGCTGGGAAATGACGATCCCATATACATTTCCCATATAAATTTACATATAAAATGACAGCGATCTTTATTTCATAGCCATCGCTGACGCCTTTTTTTCAGCCATACGGTACGCATTCCGTACATGTATACGGCACCTAGCAATCCCATTGGTCAGATTTGAATTTTAAACCAATTAAACTCCGAGTGCTATACGCGAGTATGGAATGTAAGACAGTGCCATTATGCACTTAAGGAATGTACCTTAGACATTACTATTAACGCTTTATTATAGAGCATTCCAACCAAAACCAAACCAACCCCATCAAATAGCTAACCTAACCAACGCAATCAACCCCACCAAATAACCATCTTTTAAATTATATTATTATAACAAATTTTTCGTGTACTCGCTATTTAAACCCGTGTATGTATTTGTTTAGTTGGCTGTTCTCCGATGGTGGCAGCACTGGCGGAGAATGCACCAAGCCTATATGAGTTCATTAAAAAGTTGCATACTAAGTTTTACTCTGCAATCTAATAGGAAACTTTTACTCATTATGTTTAAAATTTACGTGGGATTTCCTTTGCTCAGGTAGGCGATATTGGCACTGTATAATTGGAGGAATAAGAAACAGTATAGATATTGAGCTGTAGGAAATGATAAAGGCTATACAGGGTTGTTCGCCACATACGACATGGAGTATTGTAGCTAAACGATTATATTTTTACAAATTTCAAGTTTTGGGTTCGATGAAGGACTATTACAGGTACAATTTAAAAATAATTTTACAAGATACAGAGTGGCCCAAATAAGTAAAAAATATCAAAGTTGTATTTTTTTAAATGGAACACCCTGTATATTATTACATTTTTAGTTTCTACGATTAAAATAAAGGTAAATTTGATTAAGGTTTATTATACTTAAACCTTGGCGTTTTTGAAATATTTTCAATTTTGTGAAATTGCAGTAAAAATTTTAAAGCTTTATTTCTCCAAGGGTATCAATGTTTTTAATACTAAATATTTAATGAAGTTTATTTATTGATCATTTATTGTGTTGCAATAATAAAAATAATACTACCTTATACAGAGTGTCTAAAAATTTATTTTAAATAATTATTAGATTCAAACGGCAATAACTCCTTTAATTTAAATAGAACGCCCTGTATATTTTAGGAGAATCAGATGCACAATTTAATTGTCTATCAAATTGTGTTATACCATTTTTTACCTATCCCTTCAAGTTTTCGTAGAAAATGCATTTTCTTATAATTTAGACCTCATTTATCAATATATCCATGGAATATTGACATTTTAGATTGTTTTTAAAGCAACAAATGTACAAAATGTACAGGCTAGTAATATTATCGTTTTTAGCAAAACGATAATATTACTAGCCCATTTGTATGCAAAAAGAAAACTATTTAAATATTTATAAAAGAGTATACCATTAATTACATATAACACCATTATTTCCGCACATATACTAATTAATTACATACTTAATTGTGTTCGTTAATAAATTATTATAAATAAATGTGGATTTGAGTCGAAATCAATATAATAATAAGTTATCAAAATTAAAGTCTCTGTTGTTATAAATAAGTATTTATTAAAAAATGAAATGTCATTTTTAAGGTGTTTCTTTTTATCAGACTGTCTAATACCCATACAAAATTCAGTTTTTTAGTATTTGGAGCAATTATTATTAATCAACGCAAACAGTCAGTTAATGTAGTTTGAATACTGGAATCATATTAATTGGTCCCCTTTAACAAATATTTAAACATTTTTTTTTTATTTTTTAATAAAATAAACAAATTATATCGACAATTTTAGTATCTGTACTCTTTAAAAATTTGGTACATCTTTAAAAATAATCTAAAATGTCAATATTCCATGGGTATATTGATAAATAAGTTCTAAATTACAAGAAAATGCATTTTCTATGGAAACTTAAAGAGATAGGTAAAAAATGGTATAATATAATTTGATAGACAATTAAATTGTGCATCTGATTCTCGTAAAATATACAAGGTGTTCCGTTTAAATTAAACAAGTTATTGCCGTTTGAAGCTAATAATTATTTAAAATTAATTTTTAGGCACTCTGTATAAGGTAGTATTATTTTTATTATTGCAACAAAATAACTGATCAATAAATAAACTTCAGTAAATATTTAGTATTAAAAACTTTGATACCCTTGGAGAAATGAAGCCTTAAAATTTTTACTGCAATTTCACAACATTGAAAATATTTCAAAAACGGTAAGGTTTAAGTATAATAAACCTTAATCAAATTTACCTTTATTTTAATCGTAGAAACTAAAAATGTAATAATATACAGGGTGTTCCATTTAAAAAAATACAACTTTGATATTTTTTACTTATTTGGAACACTCTGTATCTTGTAAAATTATTTTTAAATTGTACCTCTAATAGTCCTTCATCGAACCCAAAACTTACAATTTGTAAAAATCTCATCGTTTAGCTACAATACTCCGTGTCGTATGTGGTGAACAACCCTGTATAGGGACAATACTAAAGCTTGATTTCCGCACCACCATTCTGCATGTTGTCATTTTATAGAATACCTAGGTTTTATAAAGAATGCCTTAATTTTATACTTAGCCGGCATATACAGTGTGTCCACGGATTGACTCCCAAAGAGGGAATTTTTTTTATTCGTGGGTTTATGAAAAAAAGTTATTCTTCATAAAAACTCCTGCTTGAGCTTAAACGACCAACAGGAATATTATTTTTACAAATGTATATACCGAGTGTTAAAAAGTCTAAAAAATATGGAAAACGCTAAGAACAAAGTACTTGTATATGTAAAAATACGATGAAAAGTTATTAATAAAAGTTCTAGCGATTGAAAAACTACACCACGTTACCAAATTTTATCTCACTACCTAAAACGTACAGGGATTGGTAAAAGATTCCTCTCCATATAAAATACCATTTACTCTAAATTAACTTAATTTCTTTTTGAATAACTTTTAAATCCTTGTTTACCTTTACGCAATTTCATTACTTCCCTTTTTAAATTAACCAATGGAGGCTATAAAATAAAAATCGTACACGATTAATTATTAAACTTTTTTTTTAGAAAACGAATGAAAAATAAAAAATATTGTTGCAAACAAATAATACATAATAAAGGCAGGTTGTAGCAGGTGTTATTCCAAAAAAATTAATTTAGAGTAAATGGTATTTTATATGGAGAGGAATCTTTTACCAATCCCTGTACATTTAGGTAGTGAGATAAAATTTGGTAACGTGGTGTAGTTTTTCAATCCCTAGAGCTATTATTAATAACTTTTCCTCGTATTTTTACATATACAAGTACTTATTTGTTCTAAGCGTTTTCCATATTTTTTAAAATTTTTAACACTCGGTATATACATTTGTTAAAATAATATGCCTGTTGGTCGTTTAAGCTCAAGCAGGAGTTTTTATGAAGAATAACTTTTTTTCATAAACCCACGAATAAAAAAGTTTTCCCTCTTTGGGTGTCAATCCGTGGGCACACTGTATATAATAAAATATCTATTTTAACTTTTTTGTCATCGAGTGGTCTTTCAAAAAAATCGGAAATGATGATTGTTTAGATTAGTTTTTTATTACTTGAACTTCAGTGACGACGATGCTTATCGTGTAGACTGGTCGCATTTTAAATTGATAACTAGATTTTGTTTACTTTATATTAATATTAAACATACTTATAGGTAGATATAAAAAACTTATTAATCATACCAAAAATTTATTAATTTTATATAATATGTAATATAATGCAAATATGATTTAATCGAATTTTTCGAAAAGTGTCTGGTTTTAATTTAAATCATTACAAGGTAATTTAAAGACTTCTTATCTTTAAAATAAATTTCTTTTTCCCTTTCTGGGATAGATATTTTTAAATCTCGAACGCATCATATAAGGCTACAGAGTGAACTTAAAGATGTTAAAATTCCATCTGTATCTATGTTAAAACCCCGTAAATAGGGAAAATACTGTGTCCTAGTCTATTACATTTATCACTTGCTAAATCGGTAGTTCATTACCTACATGGACGATGGTTCGAAATTTATTTACATTCAAGTACAGGGCGACCCAGGGTTCCGAAAAAGTTCTATATGGTATTTGATTTGTGATTACAGGGGGTTGGAACCTCTGGTGTTGTTACAACAGAAAAATAAAACACTAAATCAGACACTAAAGACTTTTATTTTTGCACTGGACGCGTGTTTCGCTAACCATGTTAGCATCATCAGCAGATGATTAAACACTTTGATCTTTTGAGCGAGCAAAAAAAATCACACGATCGCGCGAACACCAAATAACATTTGATTTAAAGCTAAGAAAATTATAATAAACTTGATACTGTACCTGATCTGTACCAATATCCTCTGGCTGTGTACTAAGAAGTAAATTTTCATGCATATTTTCATCGAAAGTTTTGCACCTTCTGAATAACGTTCTAGGTAAAGCATCTAGTTCAGAATTAGAATTATTAGAGTTAAGCAACTCGCATTTTCATTGGAGAACATTGTCATATTTATTTCAAATCAATAAGCAACGGGAATATTCGTATTATTTAACAAAATTACTGTAAATTACTATAAATACGAATTTTTGGTTAGGTTCAAAAAATGTTCTCTTCTTAAATAAATTTAAGCATTGACATTATTAGGCAGTTGCTATGGGCATTTGCATAAAAGTGAGTAATTTGGGTGGTATTCCACAACATTTGCAGGCTATTGAGGAAACAGAAAATGTATGTACAGATTACAGAAATAAATTGAAAATAATATTTATATTAAAACAAAGATTAAAACACTATTATATGTCACTTTTTCAAACATATCCTTCAAATCCTTCAATTTAATAGCTGTCGTTTAAAAAACGACGACAAAAAGAATATAAACAGAGTTTTAAAGCCTTTTAATCATCTGCTGATGATGCCAACACTAGCAAAACGCGCGTCCAGTGCAAAAATAAAGTGTTTTGATGTATTGTGGTGAATTAATGTTTTATTTTGATATCTATATTAGTTAACCCAAGCGAGAGGAACTTTTTTTGGGCTAGTCGGAATGGTTTCTTTTAAATTGATTTTCTGAGGTTCATTAGATGATTCTTTTTTGGTAGCTTTTTTTGATTTCTTCAATTTCGGAAATACTCCTTTTATCATCTTCACACCTATAATATAAAAAGAAACTTTAAAGAAAATATACATATTATGTAAAGATTTAATAGTTACTCTCTTGGTGATATTATGTTATTATTATGATATTATTGTTATAACTGAGAAAATAACAAATAAAAATTTTATTTTGTTTAATTTATGATTTTGGAATATACAAGTCTCAATATTCCATGGACATATATCAGAACTACTCCTTATTTTACAATCAATATAAGATAATTGAACTCTATAGGTATAAAAGTGCTTCGTTTCACCGTCAGAGGGCACAATCAAAAATGAATCCAGAAATTAAGTTTTACGTTTTACGCTTAATGTTTTTAAGTACCTTTATTATGTAGTTCATCAAATCTACTAACGTATATTCAAGAATAGGGGAATACACTTTTAACAGGGTGTTAATCAAAAAGTGACCGCAAATAGGAGTTGCCACGGTTCAAAGTCGTTCCTCCTTCGTGCTACATAGTGTATACAGGTCCAGCAACAGTGCGTCGAACATCAAACCAAACCAAACGTATAGTAGTATTCTAGGAAAATACTTGGAAATTATTTTACTTCCTACAGGGTAACTCAAAAAAGTATTAGTGGAACGGGATGATTTTTTTAAATGGAAGTATATTATTGCATTTTTGGCTTCCTTTTTGATCACTTTATATAGTCCTAAGATATAATTAAATATGTTTTGAGAGTTTCAGAAATATTAATAAATAATTAAAAAAAGGATGTACTTAAACAGCCGTTAAACGGTAGCCTACTAAAATGCCGTTAATAGATATTGTGACGTCATTCATGTCGGCGGAAAGTAATGCCTGGGCAATAAGCATTTTGCAAGAGCGCCTGTGGCTCGGTGGCTGAGGCTATCGCTTCGTGAGCGGTCCGTGGTTCAAATCTCACGCTGACCAAGACTTTTTTATATTTTTTTTTGCTTATAGCGTGATCTTATTGCATTGGTTTCACTCTTTTTGGACGGATTGGTTTAGTTATTTGGCGGGTTGGTTAGCGTGGTTATTTGGAGGGTGTTAATTCATTGGTTAGTTGGTTATTTATACTAATTTATTGGGGTTGGTTGGTTTATACTAATTTATATTTGTTTTTTATATTTTTTTTATCAGTGTCGACGTTAGTTGCGTTGGTTAAGTTGGTTATTTGGTGGGGTGGATAGCGTTGGTTAGTCCTTATAAAATTCCTATATTTCATAAAGCCGTCAAGTGCGTCACATCAACGACGTCATATCTATTAAGGGCATTTTAGTAAGCTACCGTTTAAAGGCAGTTTAAGTACAGCCTTAAAAAAATATACATTTTCAGCCCTTTTTTTAAATATTTAAAATACTAGAAATGTCCCGAAATCAAAATTATACTAGGTATTTACTAAAGTTGGTCTGTACTTACTTTGCTAAATATATCGCAATTTTAAACCATACAGGGTGTTCAAAATTCAATGCCAAACTTTCTAAAATATAATATGGTTTTCTTTCGTTTTTTTTTAAATGGATCGCATGTTACCGGACCCTTATAAAGTAGTAGGAAAGACTTTGAACCGTGAAACCCCTATTTGCGGATACTTTTTGATTGGCACCCTGTTAAAAACGTATTCCCCATTCATAAATATATGTAAAAATTAGATTTTGTTTAACTACATCATATACGTACTAATCCTAAAGGCGGATCTTAAATTAATGCGGCATCAGACAATTCTAAGAAGCACAAAGGTCTATGGAGGTGTGTATGTTTGGAGTAAGAAACCACCAGAATAAAGCAGATTAGAAAGAAGGCTCAAGTACCAGACATGATTGACATCAAAAGAATAATATGCAAGGAAGATAACCGTGATTAAAACATGTAAAACTGATGATGTGATGATGATATTGATGTTTATTCTGAATAATATTTTTAATCACAAAATGATAAATACCTAAATTTTGATTATGCGTTATCATTCGAAAAATCTTGGATCTTCTGTATTTTCTTTTAGCTGCCAACATTTTAACAAGATCTAAATGCTTGTCGTGGCCCGGATTCATTCCAACCATATTTAAATTTTCCGCTTTTCGTGTATCTATTACAGCTCGAAAAGCAGATAAGGCTCTTGATACGCCAACCTTATTAGAAAACAATTACTACTTATGGCTTTTTATAATTATCTACTTCCCACAAAAAATCTTTATGTTTCAAAAATATTGTTAAGTTTTGTTTGTATCTAAATATATTAAAAATAATAGAAAATATATGCATATATTTCATATCAATTATATTCAACTTTTAGTTACGTAAACGAGAGCGCGATTTTTAAATTCATTGTTGCCAACTAACTGGAATTTAAATTTCACGCGTCGGATTCAGGTGCTAGCTCTGCGGTAAAAAATGTCAAGTTGCCGCATTTATTTATTTATTTCCTGACATTGTCATTCGTTTCGACACTTTAGTTTTGTATTATGAGTTTTTGGTTTAAATAAATAGTATTGTGATACTTTAAGCTTAAAAATGTTTACTAGCAGAGCCTGTAATCGAACATTATTCTTTTTAGAACCTATTTTAGTGCGAAGTGTACAAGATAGCTTAACAGCCGTAAAAAACTTATCGCAACTTTATTAGAAAATTTTGAACTGGAAAGGGGTAGTAATGGCCCTTTATGTCTCTTAAGTGCTGTTAAAAAGGTGGGTTTTGTTGATGTAAATAATAACTGTTTATATATAAACTCACCGGCAAAACAAACCGGCCACTAAAAACTAGACCCAATTTCAAAGTTGAATATCTCGCGAACCACTCATTAGATTATGATGATTTTTCTTTTAAATTGTAAATTAATTCCTTTTTAACGGATGCTACGTCAGAAATGTTTACTCTGAATTTATTTTGAGCATATACAGGGCACAACAATAAGACGAAGTTTTTTGCCCGAACTTTGTAACACCCTGTAGGGTGCAGCAGCGGTAGTAGCTATTGCTAAATTAAATCACATTGTAACCTCATCTTTTGTGAGCATTTTGTTTTTTTAATCACCACATTATCTCTTTTTGTATTGGATATATGCTGTTTTAAAACGAACGTCTCGGAAAAATTCAGAATTCATCTCGGAAAAGGCAGAAAGTTTTATGTGTAACTAATCAAGGCGACATAGGCGAAAACGGATTTATGAGTATTTGGAATATGAGAAAAACGGTTGTCAATTTAAAAAATGCCATTATCTGTAACAAATGTTGCTCGTATTGTGGCTTTAATTGAGGATGGCCGAAGTCAACGTTATGTCTCCGATACCCTGGGTATATTTCGAACAACAGTCCAGGATGCCTGGAATCGGTATATGGAAACGGTAAATTTCACCAGAGTAGATACTAGATATTAGTCCCTTTAAATTTCTTTACCTTTTTTTTAATTTTCATATTTTAGGTAGTTTACGTCTACGTTCTGATGTTTGATTTGATTTTAAAGCTTTTTTCGAGGCGTTTGTTTTAAACCAGCGTATCTCCAATACAAACAGAGATAATGTCGTGATTAAAAAAATAAAATGCTCACAAAAGATGACGCTACAATGTGATTTGATTTAGCAATAGCTACTACAGCTGCTGCACCCTACAGGGTGTTACAAAATTTGGACAAAAAACTTCGTCTTATTGTTGTGCCCTGTATATGCTCAAAATAAATTTGGAATAAAAATTGCTGACGTAGCATCCGTTAAGAAGGAATTAATCTACAATTTAAAAAAGAATCATCAAAATCTAATGAGTGGTTCGCGAGAAATCCAACTTTGAAATTGGGACTAGTTTTTAGTGGCCGGTTTTTTTTTGCCGGTGAGTGTATATATTTATATAATTAATTTATTTTTGTTTCCTAAAATATTTTTCTTAAAAAAAATATATAAAAGTGTACAACGAGGTGCCGATGCCGGTCAAGCTTAATCACGTGACTAAAAGTTTATTTGGCATGAACTGTATAATAAATACCTATAAATGTTTAACAAACAATTTGATTTTTTTATCCGATATTTTCTCCTTGCTTTCTCCTAAATAGAACACTTAACATGAAACAAAATCAACTTCATTGTGGGTAATCCCATTTAGAATTTAACATTAAATTTGTGGGGTAGTAACAACATCAAGATAATACATACATAGCCTACTTAAATAAGTAAAATCAAATAAAAACCATTTTACCAATACAGAGTGTGTCTTAAATAAGTGCGAATATTTTTAGGGGTAGTATATTTCGAACCTAGAAATACGCCTATAAGTTTTTTTGCGAAAACAATTCTTTGATTTTTTACTTCTAATTTTTAGTTAAACTTTTTAAAAAAACTCAGGAAAGATCCAGTGGTTCTCAAAATTTAAGCAACTTGAATAAAGAGAAGATATGCTTCTTTTATCGAGATCTACCAGCCCTGAAAATATTTGCACTTATTTAAGACTCACCCTGTATAATATATATCTTACAATATATGTATCCTATTAGGATACTTACTAGTATTATTACTATTCTTCCAGAAAAATAGTATTTTTCTCATACCGTGCTGACAAGTGTTACTCTTGGGCTTGGGTCGGTGGAAGTATAGGGAACTTATTAAGTCGGAGTGAGAGAAATGCGACCGTGTGCTGTTGCGACGTTGCCGGTATGCCTTTCCCAATCAGGTAAAATCACGATCGCAAACCGCTTATTTTTAAACAACTTTTTTTTCGAGAAGATAACTAGATAAAATCTGGGCATCTAAAATGGGATTATAAGGATATCGTTAGGGTGTCCATTTTTTTATAATGATAAAACGTCAGTAATCCCGATAATTTAAAAACTCAACTTTTTAACACATAACACGCTATAACTTAAAAACCACTTTAGATATTGAAACTTTTTTTATTTTGAAGATCGGATCTTTTACAATATGTTTAAATAAGAAAAAATCGATAAGGTTGTTTTTTTCCATTCAAAAATTTTAAACAACTCATCCATTTACTGTTAGTGCATATAAAGATTTTCACATACTGTCTGCGAAGAAAATATAGCAGAAATGTTATGAAAGTTTTTGAAAAAACTACAATCAATTATTTTTAATTAGTGATGGGTTGTTATTTAACTATCTGTTATTTTATAACAATTATTTATAAATAACATAACGCAACCGTTACTACTTTTAAAAAATAACAGATATAAAATAACGACACGTAGAGATCGGCCGCTCGTGAAAGGAAAAACGAAGTCGGCGCTCTGCATCACCACGAAATTCTATGCTGTGCTATAGGAAAAATTACAACGACTCGTTAGTAAATCAACAAATTAAGTATCGCGAGACGTAATTAAATCGTGAAGCTGAACGCATGATGTACGATGTACACCTTTCCCTAAAACTTTAAGTACTGACAGAGGTACTGATTGGGTCGACCGGTGGACTGCGACAAATCTGCTATATCCCCTCTCACGTCTCTTAGCAATATGCGCAGTTTCTCGGTTTAGTTCGTACGTTTGGCAACGTGTTTACTGTTCTCTCTTTGTTCAGTATATTATAAACGCATTGTACTCTTGTTACATAGGGAAATCCCGACCCAAGACTAACCTTTGCCAGCCCTTAGTATCCTGCTTGTACTTACTTGGGAATGTCTGACAAGATGCTCAGTGATATCAGCTCCTAATAATTCTACATGAACATCCATACGGATTGGGATAATTTTATCTATAAACCAGAGCAGAACTATCGTCGATACCACTCCCCAGACGACAATGCATACTACAGTTAGGGCTTGAACGCCTAAAAGGTACCATCCTCCACCTAAATATTTTTTATAAATTACTATTGACAGGCATTCATCATGCGTTGTCCGTCGATGATTTTATGTAATTTTATTGGTTTCTTACAAAAATGGCATTTCATACTTTATGATTGTAGTGACGGAACGATGGAGGACGCATGACGGATGCATCATAGTATGTTTTTAAAATGTTACAGTGGGATAATATCAGTGGCGGCTTAATTATAAGGTCAAATGGTCAATGCCCCCCCAAAAAAATCAGAACAAAATTAGGAAAACCTATTTAAATTATACTTTTTGTAAATAACTTTTTTTCATTCTAAGATATTCTAAACTATTCCCAAAAACCACCAATTTGTCCAATTTTCGATTCAAAACGTTTTACTCATTTTCTCTACTGCTGGTCAAAATTTTATTTTGTCCTTCGTTCCCGCTATGCTTTCGCGCTATGCTATCTGCTATACGCCGCGGCTCGTAACGCCAACAAGGTAAGGTATACTACGTATAGAAAATATAACGGGTTAAGGTGCGATAGATATATTGGCCACTGACCGCGTCATTCATAAAAGGATTTCAGTTGTTGGAAAAATTTCGCCGTTTGGGCAGTTTGGGTGTTTATAAAACCTCATATTATAAAACAACAAACAACCTAGGTTTTTGTATCGTTTATCGCGTATAATGTTTGGTTTAGTCAATATAAAGCAATATTTAAATTTTTAATATCGAAAGAAATCCCATCTAGTTTGAGGTGTAGCGCGAAATTTGTGTAGGTAATAATTCATAATTTTCTGGTTATGGATAAATGATGAACTGTGGTTGACTGATTCTGGAATAGTTTATTTTAAAATAGACAACATGGTGTTTAGTTTGTGAAACCGTGCGGTTAAAATTCTTAAATTTCGAAAAACGTTTAGAGAAAGAACGCCGCATTGACTTAACATATAAAAAAAATGTGAAATAAAACTTTTAGAATTGTGTATGTGTATATATGCATTTATATTTTTGTGACATTATTATTTATGTGTATTTTAAATCCTACCCTTGAAAATTTGTGTAAAGAACATTGAGTGGATTTTTAGTGAAATGGCACTAGACCACCTGTTTAAAAACGTAAGGGAATGTAAGGGTAGGTTTCATTTTAACAGAATTTATATTTATTTTTAGATTTATTTTCCTTTAACTAAACGTACAAGTACCTTGTAGGAAACCAATTAAATTTGGGCGCGTCTTAAAAAAAATCGACGCAATATTTTTCGCAATATTTTCGCAATACGACGCAATTGCAGGTTACAGTCGCAGCGATTTAAAAATCGCAATAGCAGTTTCAATTGCTATTGGAGAATTGCAGTTTTGCTCATCTCTGTACAAATCGCAACAGAAAATGATGAAAACGCTCGATGTATTCGTCTCGGAGATTTAATGCGTAAAGAAAATACATGTAGCAGAAAATCTGGAACGGATAATAATATCAATGGTCAATCCTATGGCAGATAGACTAAATAAATTCGAAACGACTACTAAGAGAGCAGATAAAAAGACAAATGAAGCCGAGGTTGTCTGCGCCATCTAGATGTACCCTGTCTATGCAAGGAGAAACGTCTCTTAAAGGATTTTATTTGAAAAAGTGGTTACGAAATGGGAAAAATAGGGGTTTACTAAATAACCACAATGGCGCTAACAAATTATAAAGGATCGAACTCAACTTAGCGGTTATAAAGTGAAGTTAGTTAAAAAGAGAGGCAACACGCGCCTTCAGAAATCGCGTATTTTATCGTCTCTTTTCTCTTTCTATTTATTTCCTATTATAAACAATTTTGGCGCTTCTTTCTAATGTAGAACTTTTGTTACAGAAGCGCCATCTTAAGTGTTCCTTCTTTGATGACCACTTTTCAATACACAACGAAAATTATTATTCTTCTTACTTCTGCCCTCTATAAACCTGTCTCTTCCTTTTTTACATCAACTGAATATTAATCACTGAGAACAGAGAAGAATGGAAATGTCTTGGTGAAGGTCTATGTCTAGAATTCCGAATCTGTGGTGTATAGTGTATAATAACGATTATGAATCTTAAATTAATTAGTCGAATATTAATCTCAATTACCTTTTGTTAATCCATTTCTGCGAGCTGTAGTACCCAACGGATATGGGTCCTGAGCAAAAATTCCCACTGCAATTACTCCTAAAATTTGTAATGCTCCATTTTGACTGTATTTTGGAACTCTATAACTTACCCCAGATTCCCCCAACACCATGTACGGCACTAGCACCAACAGGATCGTCAATATGCATCTAAAGTAAATTTAATCATTGTTAATATTAACATGGTCGAGAGAATATTTAATTAAGAAATGTTTTTCATACTATGTTCCATAGTCTTTCTCGGCCAGCTTACATTGCTGGGACAGCTAGGATTCCAAGGAACGAGACAATTTGTATTAAAAATAATTTTTTGTAATACATTTTAAAATTATTTGGAGTTCTTCAGTGTGTCACAGAAAAATAAAATACCATCAAAAACATATGATATGATTTTAAACGAACTTTTTTACTTATGTTTATCTGGAGAATATGTTTGCGAAGTTTCCCGGTTACAATTCGGATCACCCTGTATATCTCGAAAACTTAATAAGTGATTTAAAAGTAGAAAATAGTTTTGAACATACAGGGTTGTTCACCACTTACGACACGGAGTATTGTAGCTAAACGATTAGATTTTTACAAATTGTAAGTTTTTGGTTCGTTGAAGGACTATCAGAGCTACAATTTAAAAATATTTTTACAAGATATAGGGTGTCCCAAATAAATAAAAAAATATCAAAGGTTTAATTTTTTTAAATGGAACGCCCTGTATATTATTACATTTTTATTTTCTACGATTAAAATAAAGATAAATTTGATTTAGGTTTATCATACTTAAACCTTACCGTTTTTGAAATATTTTCAATTTTGTGAAATTGCAATAAAAAAATAAAGGCATTTCTCCAAGGGTATCAAAGTTTTTAATACAAAATATTTACTGAAGTTTATTTATTGATCAGTTATTGTGTTGCAATAATAAAAATTATACTACCTTATACAGAGTGTCTAAAAAATTATTTTAAATAATTTCTAGCTTTAAACGGCAATAACTTATTTAGTTGAAATGGTATATTTTAGGAGAATCAGATGCACAATTTAATTGTCTATCAAAATGTATTATACTGTTGCGGACCCGTGTGGACTCGACCTAACCTAACTATATGCCCCGTCCTCAGATAACCTTAACATCGCATTAAAGAATAGACACCGTAATGATTCATTCGTTCCAGAAAAATCGAGTCACACTGGAATGGAGTAGTACACGAGAATATTCGAAACCTTCTCTATGCACCTAACGATCTATGGACTATTCTAGAGATCTTTAGCTGTCGGTATAAAAGCCGGCGGCTGGGGCCTAGAGAGGGCAGTTATATAAATAGACGAGTACAGTTGACGCGCTAAAATTCAAAAATAAATTCTTAGTTAATCGTTTGTAAATAGTTCTTTAAGTCTTTTATTGTTATTGTTTTTGTTAATTAGTGTTAAATAAATAGTGTTTAAATAAATTGTGACTTTCTATCCACACGGAACCGACGAAAAACGTAACAATACCATTTTTTTACCTATCCTTTCAAGTTTTCGTAGAAAATGCATTTTCTTATAATTTAACCTCATTTATCAATATACCCAACATACCCATAGAATATTGACATTTTAGATTGTTTTTAAAGCAACAAATGTACAAAATGTACAGGTGCTAAAAACAATAATATTACTAGCCCATTTGTATACAAAAAGAAAACTATTTAAATATTTATAAAAGAGTATACCATTAATTACATATAACACCATTATTTCCGCCCATATACTAATTAATTACATACTTAATTGTGTTCGTTAATAAATTATTATGATATTAATTTAAATCTTTATAAAACAGTATACCATTAATTAAATATACCGCCAGTATTTCCGCCCAAATATTAATTATTTACATAGGTACCTTATTGTGTTAGTTAATAAATTATTCTAAATAAATGTGAATTTGAATCAGAAATCAATATAATAATAAGTTATGAAAACGAACGTCTCTTTTGTTATAAATAAGGATTCGTCAAAAATGAAGTAAAATTTTTGTGGTGTTACATTTTACCACACATTAGACAGTGTGGTAAAAAGTAACACCACAAAAATTTTACTTCATTTTTACATATACAAAATTCAGTTTTTTAGTATTTGGAGCAATTATTATTAATCAACGCAAACAGTCAATTAATGTAGTTTGAATACTGGGATCATATTAATTGGTCCTCTTTAACAAATATTTAAACAGTTTTTTTAATGAAATAAACGAACTATATCGTTAATATGTTACGTCTTTAAAAATAATCTAATATGTCAATATTCCATGGGTATATTGATAAATGAGGTCTAAATTATAAGAAAATGCATTTTCTACAAACACTTGAAGAGATAGGTAAAAAATGGTAAAATACAATTTGATAGACAATTAAATTGTGCATCTGATTTTTATAAAATATAAAGAGTGTTTTATTTAAATTAAACAAGTTATTGCCGTTTAAACCTAGTAATTATTTAAAATAAATTTTAGACACGCTCGCGACACATATTTAAGGTAAAAAGTCGATCTTATATACAGAAAAGTTGGCCACCCTGCTATACAGGATAGGGCAACTGCCCAGCTATGTCAAAACATTGGTTCCAGATAGATCACCGAAATTAAACGACGCGACGTTAGAAGATGAGAGGGGATGGAAAGGCGAACATCCAGAAAATTTGTCGTTCTGTTTTTCCGTGGGAAGAGTGTAAAATCTATTGATACATCACTGCTCATTAACGCCTGTTCGAGGCTGGATAAAATCGGATATCTACTGAGTAAAAGTCGATTTAGACACTCGCCAAGTCGGTAGGTCATTGATAAGGATGTGGCCGCTGACCGCGGTTCGGATTTCGCGTAAACAAAGTGGGCCCCGACCAATTAGCCTTAGCAGCAAAAGGGAAAAGTTAACTTAAAATACTTTTTTTTTCATACAGAATAAATTTTAATTTAAGTAGCTTTTATTAAAATTTGCTCTTTATTTCTAGAATTTGTCAAATATATTAAATTAAACACAAATATATAATACATAAAACCTTATATTTGCCTGATACATTTATTAACTAAAACAGATCTTATTTTTGTTTCTAGAATAGAAAAAAAATAATATATAAGGCGTTAAAAAAACTAGACTCTGCTATATCTTAAGTATTTTTTTGAAACACTCTGTACAGCTCCAAATTAAAAAAAAAACATTGCACGTAAACTTACAATATGCTATTTTATTCCAATACAAATTGTCACTTTTTTGGCGAGTCCGGGTCTTCTGAGAAACTATGTCATTGTATATTCACCATGTCCCCCCCTTTAAGTAAAAGTAAAAACAACTTCAACCGCTAGACAGATAGCCCACAAGCTGACCCAGAGATAAACCACATATCAGAAAATAACCTTTAGTAAAATTCTTTTCATGTCAGTACTAAAGTCTTTGGATTTAATCTTAAAGGTATTTTTAATATTAAATCATATAGAATTTGACGATATTTTAGGCGTATTCTATTGAAATTATTATATTTACTGTCGAACTATAAAAATGTCATCAATTCAATCATCAAGTAATAGTAAACCTACTTAATAAGATCATAAAAAACACCGAATTCGCCTTTATTAACTATCAATATTCTAGAGGTATTTTTTGTATTTACCATATCAAACACTGGCATTGATCCACATACTAAAAATGCTCCTATAATTCCGATTAACAATGCTTCCCAACCTGAAAAGCGTTAAATTAAAAATAAAATATAAGGCCAGTATATGTTATTTAAATTTATATTATAAAAAATAAACAAAAGATGTTATCGTGGGGACTATAATAAAAAAGAAGAATGAAATTATTGGGCAGACCTACAGTAAGATTAGCCATGAAACATGGCTAAAATACGACTACCCGTAGACACTTAGTGTTTCTGCCTTCCGGCTTCATCAATACGGGAGGAATCAGCAACGATGAACTAGCGATCCTGAAAAAATCCTTTGCTTCCCTTTGCTTTGCTCCTTTGCTTCCCTTTTTCTTTTTTCAGGATCGCTAGTTCATCAAGTAATCTTACTGTAGGTCTGCCCAATAATTTCATTCTTCTTTTATAAAAAATATATATTCATGATGGATAGGGATTTTAAGTTTGAGCCGACTTATATTTCAATATAATAACATCTAAAAAAGTTAATAAAAAATATTTTGATTACAGGGTGATTGTTTTTTTTACTTAACAATTTCATTCAAACACAATAAACCAGATATAAATTTATAATAAAAAATATTTTAAAAATAAGAAATTATTTCCAATTTTATTTTTCTAAAATTATTGTTATTATTAGTTTATCCAATTTAATCAACAACTAATAACTTCAAAATATAATAATGTCCTTTTTAATATTTTTAGTATAAAATGCGAATCATAAAGTCATTGATTATGAAATATTGCATGATTAAAATTATACAGGGTGAGTCTTAAATAAGGGCAAATATTTTTAGGGATAGTATAATTCGACCCCAGAAACACACGTCTATGAGTTTTTATTCGCAAAAAAAAATGGAAATTTGGTATCTACTAATAACTTCAAAATAATATAATTATGTCCTTTTTAATATTTTACTATAAAATGTGAATCATAAATTCATTATTTATGAAATATTGCATGATTAAAGTTATACAGGGTGACTCTTAAATAAGGGCAAATATTTTTAGGGGCAGTATAATTCGACCCAAGAAACACGTCTATGAGTTTTTATTCGCAAAAAAATTAGAAAATTAGAATCAACTAATAATTTTAAAATAATAAAATAATGTATTTTAATATGTTTAGTATAAAATGTGAATTATAAATGAATTAATTATGAAATATCGCATGATTAAAATTATACAGAGTGAATCTTATATAAGGGCAAATATTTTTAGGGGTAATATAATTCGACCACAGAAACACGTTAAAGTTTTTATTCGCAAAATAAATTGGAAATTTGGAATCAACTAATAACTTCAAAATAATATAATAATTGTAGGCGTTTCCGGGTCAAAATAAAAAAATAAAATTAAGATTTAGGATGGCTTATATTGAAGAAAAATATTGCAGACAAAATAATTACAAAAAATTATTAAAAAAATTACTAAAGTGATTACGCCAAAAAAACGGTACCAAACGGTTCAAGACAATTTCTCAAACTGAACTTATAGGTATTTTGTTTAAAACATAAACAGTCTTGGGACCGCTGCCGCTGCTTATTCAACAATCTGGGCTCTTTGATACTTTTCTCCCAATGTAGATTGTGACAATTATTATCGCTTACCCGTTTAGACAATACATTTATTTTTTCTTGATGAAAAATACCAAATTGCCTACATAATGTCCTTTTTAATATTTTACTATAAAATGTGAAGCATAAATTCATTAATTATGAAATATCGCATGATTAAAATTATACAGGGTGAGTCTTAAATAAGGGCAAATATTTTTAGGGATAGTATAATTCGACCCCAGAAACACACGTCTATGAGTTTTTATTCGCAAAAAAATTGGAAATTTGGTATCAACTAATAACTTCAAAATAATACAATAATGTCCTTTTTAATATTTTACTATAAAATGTGAATCATAAATTCATTAATTATGAAATATCGCATGATTAAAATTATACAGGGTGACTCTTCAATAAGGGCAAATATTTTTAGGGGCAGTATAATTCAACCCCAGAAACACGTCTGAGTTTTTATTCGCAAAAAATAGAAAATTAGAATCAACTAATAACTTTAAAATAATAAAATGTATTTAAATATGTTTATTAGAAAATGCAAATCATAAATTAATTTTTTATGAAATATCGCATGATTAAAATTATACCGGGTGAGTTTTAAATAAGGGCAAATATTTTTCGGGGTAGTATAATTCGACCCCAGAAACACGGCTATGAGTTTTTATTTGCAAAAAAATTGGAAATTTGGAATCAACTAATAACTTCAAAATAATATAATAATGCCCTTTTTAATATTTTACTATAAAATGTGAATCATAAATTCATTAATTATGAAATATCGCATGATTGTTGAATGTAGAATGAGTAAGAGGGGGGGTTAATCACTGCGACCTTAAATATCTATTGTGTGCCCCCCTTCCTTGAGTCATCACACAGTCTATAACCCATCATACCCCTGTTGTAGAGGAGACAGGGTATTTCCCATCCTCCTCTGACAACAGTTCTTCCTCCGAGGGTACACACCCTTCTACGGTTGGAGTTTGGCCCTCCGTGCAGCCTTTCACAGTCGAGGAGCTTGCCTCCGGCTGAGGAACTCGTGAGATGGAGGCTGGAGAATCTGTCTCCATTTTCTCCACTTCTTTAACTTGGTTTATCCTTAGACCTGATACTGGTGTTGTCCCGTATCTATAATAGAGGATATGTCCCTCTTTCTCTGTTGTCTCCTGGGATTTGAGGTCGATTCCTATTGTGAGGACCTGACCATGACCCTCCTCCCTCGAGTTGATGACTCGCCAACTCGATGTCTTTACATCGCATGATTAAAATTTCAGCATTTGAGGGATTTAGAAGTTTGGATCCTCAGGTGCATAATCAAGTGTTGTCAAGAATTGTAGTGAAGTGAAGTGTGGTTAAGCGTAATGTTAAGGTGCAGTTTTAAGACTGGTAAAAGGAAAAAAGAAAGCTTTGCAATTATATTGATCTGCTATCGGGATATCCTATTTTAATGTATGGTAAGTTTTGTTTTATTTATTTTGTAGAATGTGAGAAGTAGGGCCACTGGCAATCATATCCACTTAGTGGTGTGGAATTTGGCAAGTAGTTTTTAAGTCTTTCTAGTCGATATGGCAACAGCGGCCGGGGGAAATTGTCGATTTCCCCCGGCGGCTCTCAAAATGTCACAATTTTTTTTAACTTTCAAAGTTAAATAACTCGGTTATTTTAAAAAAGGTAAAGAGAAAATGTGTTTCTTTTGGGCCAGATCTAGCACGCCTTAAAATATCTGTACTTATTTCTGGGATACCCTGTATATATAAAATTTATTTCGTTATATCTATTCAAATAAAGTCATAAAAAAATAAAAATGAAATCGCTAATATTCGTGTTTTTTTAAATATTCGGTAGTATTCGGAATTTTTAAACTTTTAATTTTGATCAACATCCAGTTACACAACTTTGCCTCCATTTAACCGATCTTGTATCTTTAGTTTAGTCTCCGAGATCGCAATGATGAGGTCGAATTTGGAACACCCTGTACATGGGACTTTTATGGCCGAATCTGAATTATTTTGTGTATTATTATATCGGTAGTAAACCATATTATACAACCTATGGCTTTAGTGCTTATTTTACCAACCTTTATACAAAAAACAGCCAGCTGTAATCGCTACTAATGATCCCAAAATGCCATTGATAATGTCCATCGCATCAATTCGACCTCCTAGTCTGATCATCGAATACAGTATACTTGCCGTACCACCGCCGAATGATGACATCATGGTCATTACAGCTGCTTGGGCGGCGTATTGCCATTTTGCCCCGCTGAGTCCATAGGTACTCCCGGAATTAAATGCCAACCAGCCCCACCAAAGAACAAATAAACCCATAACCGCATTTACAGGATTTCCTAGAAGACACACCTAATTTATAAAATCAACTTGGTATACGGGGTATCCTTGGCTAAACTTGCATTAGATGTATCTAGAGGGCCATAATCTTTAGATTAATTATTTTAAGCACAAGGTGTTCTGGTTAATATAATACAAATTATTTCTGTTTAACGGTAATCAATTATTTAGAATTAATTTTAGACACGTTGTTTAAGAAGCATAACAGTTAATAGCTTTAATAATAATGAATCAGGGTATCTCAGTGTATATTTGATTTTAAATACAATCTGTTAAATTCAAGTTAAATTAATATTTATTATTAAAATTTTAAATAATAAATATTAAAATTTATTACTTAAAATTTTAATAAGCAATAAGGAATTTCAAAAAGTGAAGTAAAACTTTAATCAAACATTTTTTTTAAATTTTAGTCGTGGAAACTAAAAATGCAATACAGTCAAAAGCAATATTTTGACAGACGACATCAAACAAATGACAGAAAATAGATACATTTTTTGCTTATGAATTAAAATGATGATACAACTGTCACCGTCGGGGTTCCTGTCGCTGGACTATCTGTACTATGTATATAGCTACTAGGGTATATACCTACTAGGGTATATAGGCGTCGTATATACAGGGTGTTTCTCAAAAGTGGCTCACTCCTATAACTTTTTTAGTTTTTCAGAGAAAAAAAAAGAGATTTGGTACGTTAGTATATTACATAAATTAGGATTGATTGATGTATTCAATTGTTTTCGATCACTTCCTGTTTCACCTGAAATGGCTACATCTCACCTGAAATGGCTGTACTTTTGATTTTTAAATAGCATCCTCTGTATTTTTTATTTTATTCAATAGAAAATGACACTGAATAGAATGACATATCATTCAACTTTTGACATTTTCGCATATGGTTTATTTGAAATTGGAACATGCGGTTCATAATGAAAATTTGAGTCGAAAAGTACGAAATGTGTATCAAATTTTTCGTAAAAAAATGCTTTTTCCAAATATGCTAATAATGAGTCACCCTCGTTCCATTTGAAAAAATTGAGATATGATCACATGATTAAAAAATACGATTTGAGCATCTTTTAACTGGTCAGGAAAATTTACGAAAAACATTAAACTTGATTAAAAATTAGTGTTTTTAACACACCCATGGCACCCTAGATATAAATTTAGTATACGATCTTTTTAAACAAAAATGTCAAAAGTTATCTATTCAGAGTGTCATTTTCTATCGAATAAAGTAAAAAATACCAAGGGTGCCATTTAAAAATTAAAAGTTCTAGTCATTTATATTAGACATCCGGTATAGGTGTCGAATACCCTAATGGTTTAGAATACCGAGAATACGATATGAGCTTTCAGTGTTGACATATATAACAGTTGACAAAATTGACAATTGATTAAACTAAAGTCGCTTAAAAGCGAGCCAGCATATTATATTCATATTAATTATTCTTTGAAAAATTAAGATTTTAATATAAAGACATTCTTTTCTGATCTAAAGAGGGGTACAGAGAATAATTTTTAACATTAAAGTTATTATAACGTTAAAGTATTCCTATGTAGATACAATTTTATATGACTGTATCATTTATATTATTTTACAATAATATAATAAATATACCTAGAGGTAATGGACCTCTTCCATTATCATATCGACCAAGCCGTGGACCCAACATCATTGCACTAGCTAAAGCAGCACTGCCTCCAAGTAGATGGACAGCACCCGAACCAGCAATGTCCACGGCTCCCATTTGTTTTAGAAATCCGTGTTCACCCCATAACCAACCGGCAGGAATGCAATAAATTGCCGTATTAAGAAAACTGCAAAATATAATATACGAGAATTTAATAATAAAACTCATATTTCGGGCTTGCATTGTTTTTATTGAATTTCTGTAGAGCAATGAAAGTCTGTCCAACGAGTCAGGAAAGATTTCCAACATAAACTAAAATTTGCCTGTGAATTAAAGTAACAGAGAGAACTCTTACTGCCAGGAATCCTCTCGTTGGACAGACTATAGCTATTACTGATCGATGTCATGCTGAAATTAACATTATGTGTGTAGTTAGTTAGTTACTAGGGGAGTATAAGGTGTATAATATACAGGGTGTCCCAGAAATACGTGCAAGTATTTTAAGGGGTGGTAGATCTCGATAAAAGAAACATATTTTCTCTTTATCGTTTTCAAATAAGTCCAAAATAACGGAGTTATTTTACTTTGAAAATTTCCAAAAAAAAATGATTTTTTGCTAAAATTTTGAGAACCACTGCATCTTTTCTGGATTTTCTTTTTTGTAAATTTAATCTAATACATATGTTGCCGTATTATCAAGTAATTATGTTTTTAAGCTAAAAACTAAAAAAAATCAAAAACTTTTTTCAACATTTTTTTTTCGCAATAAGACCTCATAGGCGTGTTTCTGGGGTTGAACTATGCTACAAGTTAAAATACTTGCACTTATTTCTGGGACACCCTGTATATACATATCGTCGGCTTTATGACGAAAAGGCGTATCTCGATTTTTGCTACTTTTCAGGAGAGCAATTTAAAGAAAAGCACTTACCTTATTTTGCCAATAAATGTAAAGTCTTTAATTTTTTCATAGTGTTTTTGTATTAACACTTAAACAGAGACATTGAGGAAACGTTCTGAAGATAAATTGAGCGTAAATTCTAATAAATAATTTATTTTTAGTTGTTTAATTAAGATAGGCCTTTTTGTTATAATAATAATCAATTTATTTCCAAACGAATAGTATACATACGCCCATGTAAAATAAATTTAAAAATGATGGTAAGTGTTCTTAATAAGGAAAAAATAATACAGTATTCACATTATGGAATACATACAAGAAAATACAATACATGCATACAAGAAAAAATCTGAAAATCACCAAAAAATCAGAAACAAATATTTTTAAATACTTTTATTCGCGTTGGATTAGATCAACTGAAAACAAAGACAATTTTCATTCCAGAAGCAAAAACAGTAATCAATTAAAATACTCTTATCTAGCTTATTTTAATAATATTGTTTTTTATACAAAAATACATTTTTTAACTAATACATTTTTAGTTAATTGAGGGCATTAATACAGTGCATTTAAACACACGGTCCATTTAATAAAAACGAAACTAAACAAAAACAAAACATGTTTCTTCATTCGTGCCTTTTTGATAGAAATAACTGTGGAGTAACAGTTTCTGTTTTCCCTGTTCAATGATAACAAATTCGATTTCCATTCTACGTGTTTATGCTGGATGATGGTAGGCACAATAAATAAAATTTTCCAAAAATTCCCAAAGGCCTGACAATGATAATGAGATAAAAATTATTGTATTTTTCAGGCAAGTTTTTGGTTCGCTAAAATGTTCTTAGGGAAATTATGATTTCGGGAAATTTTCCATTAGTTCAATTTTCGTTTCGTTGTTTTACTTTCGATCAATTTTCCTTCGACCATTTATTCTCGGACAATATTTTACATACCCGATACAGCTATGTGCAGAGACTAGCTCATTCTAACAATGGTTTTTGGCAAAAAACAGACTCAAAATCACACTGTAAAAGAGAGCTGCTGCCACGATAGAAGTTTTATTTTGTCCCAAGCAATTACGTAGAATGGTGTGATTTTCTCTCCATGCATTTTGATAACTCAAAACAAAAGGACCTATCTGAAATTCCATCTGTCTTGTAGTATAATAATTGGTATAACAATTGATATAACAAAGAGCCCTATCTCAACATACGTCTCTTCGTCATAAAGAAGAATTGTAGAATTTGAGATGGGGCAAATTTATAAACGAATATAAAATGAAAAAGGAGACAGTGTATTGAGATGCGCAAATTCGCTATATTAAAATATGACCCATTGGGCATGTCATGACACGTTGATATCTCAAAATCGCCAAAAATCGAGATACGCCTTTTCGTCATAAAGCCGACGATATGTTACGGTTAAAGTTCGATGTCCGGTTAATATCGACATTAACAGGTTAATGTTTGGGTTTGGTTTTGTTTTTGGTTGTTTTGTTGCGTGTTATTCTCGAAATTAACCGGGTAATGTGGATATTAACCGAATATCGGACCTTAACCGTAACATATATGTTCCTCGGAGGTGGACTTTTTTAGTGGGTAACATTCGACACCTATACTGTCTGGAGTTCGCCTCTATCATAATTAAGGTCCGACCGAGATCTCGATCTCGTTCTCGACATAAAAAGGCCGAGATTATTGGCCACGGCCGAGACTGCTGACGATCGTCAAATTAGCTTATTTTTTAGCGTATTGCTCCGCCTATCGCTGCGTGGATGAATGAAATACTCGTCCGAAGTCGAAAAAAAAAAAAAAAAAAAGAATGGATCATATTTGATCCATATATGATCTGATCAAATCACGAAGAGGATTTCTCGGACGGCTGAAGAACCGCCTTCATTTTTCTATGCGTAAACAATGAACGAAATGTTAAGATGCGTCCAGACTTGAGCATTTTAGCTCGAACGAACAGAACGAACCAAACGCGTAGAGCCGAATTCGCTAAGTCTGGACCTGTCCCCGAGCCGAATTCGGCGTCCAGACTTAGCGAATTCTGCTCTGCGCGTTCGGTTCGTTCTGTTCGTTCGGGCTAAAATGCTTAAGCCTAGACGCACCTTTAGACGTTAATATCTTATTAATGTAAGTTTTATAAATTTAACAGAATTGTGCTTTTATATGAATTACTCGTATATCCTACTAATAAGTAAAATTTGTGTGTCTAATTATTCACCTACATACAGAAGACTGAAACCAGCAGCTTATATCGTATGATCGAATCTTTGAATACGATCGAATAAAATCGGCGTCAGCGATGGCTATGAAATGACAATCGATGACATTTCCCATATAATTTTACATATAAAGTGACAGCGATCTTCATTTCATAGCCATCGCTTACGCCGTTTTTTTTTCTATCGTATTGTATTGTTTGGCCAGGATCTTTTGTTTCTTTATTATATTCCACCAAAGGTGGTATATCTATACACACATATAGAAGCTTTGTCTTGGTACATTTCTAGTCTGTACCACCAACAAGCGTCTCTAGCAAACAACTATTTAGAAAGAATATGATGAAACACTGCATAATTTGAAAGGATGCAATGAGGAAAAAAATACTTTTTTAGCCTATAACAAAGAGTAAAAAAGTAATTTTATTAGTATTAGAAATTTTATAGTATTAAATCCCATTAAAATCGTTTCTACAAGAAACGTTTTTATTACATTATTATCAGATGTTTTTTTCATATAATAAACTATTGAATAAATATTGCATCGTGTCTCGGTCTCAGTCTGGTTTTCGGCTGAGAATTTCTTATTCTCTCGATCTCGACCGAGACTAAAAATCCAGGTTCGGTTGGTCCTTAATGATAATCTCCTTCGAGATGGTGATGGGAACGAGCACCATTCGCCTATAAAAGGTTTTTTACCACCCACTCACAAAAAACAGCGTAGTTAATCTCGTAGCCTGGCATTCTGTGAGTCTTATAGTTAGTAGGTGACTGAGTCTTTTAGAAACCAAACCAAACCAAATCAATTGACAATTAGTCAGTTGATTAGACTGATGATCGTAATTTCATATATGTAAGTCTATGCATATATGTCTTATCTTCAGTATACAGGGTGTTCAATTTTATTTTTTCCTGTCGTTACTCTTTAGAAAATCGAAAAACTAATTGCGCATTCTCATAGCTATTTTATCATCAGGGTTACCTGTTTTTTATACACGGACATACATTTTTATTTCAGGTTTTGAAAAAATTCACTCTCCTGAGTACAATAATATGCAACATTTATTTTTTTTTGTTTTGTGCACTTTAACAACACAATTTTGTTAAACTAATATCAAGTCCGCTCATGGGGTTTTACATTATTTAATCTCATTACATTTATCGTAACAATATTGATGATTAAGTTAATTAATATTGAATAAGGAAAATCGAGCAACATGATAGATTTAAATAAGTAATATCCAGGTCAGCATTTTAAAAAGTTTAATAATTGAGTTTCAATTATCTGCTGATGATGCTGGCATGGTTAGCGAAATGCGCGTCCGTGCAAAAGTCTTTTATTGTACTGTCCCCATTATAACGTATGTTATAAGGACATTTTTCACGAAAACTTAAAGGGGATTAACATGCAGAATGAGTGGGAAGAAGCAGCTCACAATAGAACTCAATGGAGAAGAATTGTAAACTCAGTTAACAGCGACAACCAAAAAGTAAAGAGGCAACAAAGCAATGAGATTTTTGAATGTCAGGAGTGCGGTAGGCAGATAACATCACGTATCGGCTTTTCAGTTACAGAAAAGCTCATGAAAGAAAACGCCTTGCGTGACTATTTTCTAGTAATGGCAGAGTAATGGCAGTAGTAGTAGTAGTATTGTACTGTGGTGAATTAGTGTTTTATTTTGCTCTTGTAACAACTAAGATTCCAACCCCTAAGTGTAATTTTAAAAATAGTACTTTTTGTATTATGAATTTGAAGTGATCAGCGCAGGGGATTGTCTCGTTACTTCAGTCATTGAATCTTCGAGTTGAAGATTGTAGATCTTATAGCAACCGAAACGTTGGACTAATCTACTAAAACTAAACCAGTCGAGTTCCAAAATTAATTTAATATGTAATATTTAACTCCCAGTTTCAAGAAAACTGGGTAATGTTGTTACTGTGTCGGAACATAATAAATATATACCTAACTAACCTGAACAAGCAGTACGCTTTGAAACTGCAGCGTTCAGCCATTGCTCCGCTCACTATTGTAGTAGCCGTCGTCGCAAAAGATAACTGGAAAATAAATGCCGCATATATTGGTCCTTTTAAAGGGTCATTTACGCTTGGATCGATGAAGAAATCTCCCAAGGCAATAAATTTGTTGTTTAAAGGACTCCGTCCAAACGACATTGCAAATCCGAAGATCCAATACGTTAAACCTACGATTAAAATGAGCTGATAACGGGGTGTCAGTAAATAAGTGTGAATAATTCGGGAGATAATTGAGGGGTTTTTGAAAAATAAAGGGTGTTTTTTGTATACTTTTTTTCGATATTTCCTTACAATGTTATTTGCTTATACAGAGCGAATCTGAATTTGCACACACATATTCACCAGGAAAATCGTGTAATATCATGTATCATTGTTGTTAAAAATGTTAACAAGTACATAATAATAATGATTTTTCCTTGCTAAGTGCTCTATGTATTTGACATTTAGTATACTATTCAAAACTCTTCAAATTTAATATTACGAAATTGAAGTTACCTCCTAGTACAATATCCACCACATTTTTCATCATAATATTTACTTCGTTTTTGATTGAAACACATCCTGATTCCAACATACCAAAACCTGAAAAAAAGTTTTTTATTGACCATACTGTTTTTAATTATTTTTTTTTTATAAAATCAATCAAGTGTTTCAAGTCTACACTGCACTCATAAATGTTCGCTGCAAATTGCTGGAGAGACTTCTCTATAATTGACTAGCACCAACTATTTTAGAACAGATTCTTATTAGACAGGCCGGTTTCAGATCAAATCGAAGTGCTAGCGCTAACAACTCATGGAGAGGAGCTTTCAAGATAAGAAGTCCATCGCTGTGTTCATCGATCTAACATCAGCGTACTATACGGTATGGCGAAAGGAAATGATCTTAAAGTCATAAGGGTGATACCATGTAAGTTAAGTTAATTGCAAAACTACTAAATAGCACGCTGTCTAGCCAGATGTTCCAATAAGTTCACTTAAATAGAAATGTAAACAAACTATATAATTTAAATAACGAATTACCACAAGAATCGGTACTGGTCCCGCTCCTTTTCAATTTATACATTGCTGATCTACGGGAAACGAGAGCACGAAAGTCTATTTACGCTGATAACATAGTCCTAGTGACCCAATCGAATGATTTTAACAGCTCGCAAGCAGTGCTCACTCGTGATTTGCAAATGCTAGAAACGTTTCTACATACATGGAGGCTCAAGAGGAGGCTGCAATACAACCATCTCCCAAAATATCTTGGCGTGACACTGGATCGCTCCCTAACATATAAACAACATCTAACTAAAATTGCCTCCAAGTTGAAAACTAGAAACAACGTGCTTCACAAACTATCTGGAACAAGTTGCGGAGCAAACGCACCTTTGCTGAAAACTACTGCGCTTTCACTCGTATACTCGGTCGCAGAGTACTGCTGGCCTGTGTGGGCCAATAGTGCTCACATAAATGTTATTGATAGCCAGCTGAACGAAACTATGAGGCCTATATCAGGCACAGTGAAGTCCACACCGATACAATGGCTGCCTATCCTGTCAAATATGGAGCCCCCGGAAATACGTCGCCAAGCAGCACTAAAAAAAGAATGGTGAAAATGTTCTGCAGACCCTCACCATTACACAAAAATTGCCTAAATAACCAATAGAGGAGTGCTTCAAGCCCTTATGGGATACAAACCTCGGAATTCATTTACTGTGAACGAATTTTTATAAAACTTTTTGCATTGTATTTTTAATAAGACATATTACAAAGTTTACCCATTTAAATTCGTTGCTTTCACTTTAGTATTTAAATAAACACGCATATACAAATACATACATACAAGATGGCTCCGTGTTCCGAAAAAGTTCTGTATCAGTTAAGGTTGATTCTCACTATACCTTCCATATCAGCTCCCTTCCGTTTCCCTTCCGTTCACATAAAATATTATATCATGTAAATGAATAGGACAATGCACACTATCCGTTCCGTTTCCCTTCCGTTTCATATCCTTTCCTTCCATACACTTTTTTTTGGCGGACGGACTGAAGCGTATCAGAAACAGCATTGTCAACTTGTAACATTTGTACCAGCTCTGTTAAAATTTTGCTGATATTTATTTATTCTTTCACCCCTTAATTAAATCTATTACTTTTTTCAAAAGATAGAAATTTTTAAAATAAAACTTTCGTAATGATAAATTGTACAATAAAAAGTATGGAACTGATACGGAACGGAAGCTTACGTAGCGTCAATACGGATATGGAATGGATATGGAATGGAAACGGAAGGTATAGTGAGAACCAACCTTTAGTAGTATATCCGTTCCGTATTTTTTACTGTATTGACGAATTACTGAACCTTCAGTTCCGTATCAATTCCATACTTTTTATTTTACAATTTATATCATTACGAAAGTTTTATTTTAAAAATGTGTATATTTTGAAAAAAGGCAATAGATTTAATTAAGAGGTGAAAGAATAAGTAAAATATTAACAGAGCTGGTACAAATGTAAGAACTTGACCACGCTGTTTCCGATACGCTTCACTCCGTCCGACAAAAATATTTATGGGAAGAAAAAATATGGAACGGAAAGGAAACGGAACGGAAAGTGTGCATACTCCTATTTATTTACATGATATAATATTTTACGTAAACGGAAGGGAAACTGAAGGGAGCTGATACGGAAGGTATAGTAAGAATCAACCTTTAAATCGGCGAGACCAAGACTCGAACGAGTCGAGGAAAAATGTATCAATCGGCAACACAAATTCCAAACCGTACCGCAGAACATATCTGGAGAAACGCACAACTAATACCAGAGCTGCAAGCTCATAAAAAAATTTAGTCTTTTTTTGATTAAAATCATTTTAATTACTTAATTCACTAAGTCATTTGATTTTAAGTCATTTTTTAAAAGCTGACTTAAGACTTAAAATTTAGGTATTTTTCAAAATGATTTGTGATTTAAATCTTTATTCCGAAATAGAAAAAGATTTAAGCTATTTTTTGAAAAGATTTAAGCCATTGAAAAAAATTAAGTTTTTTTATAAAAGACTTAAGTCAGATTTAAGTCTTTTTATAAAAAGCTTAAGTCAGCTTTTTATATATTTTTATGGTAAATTTTTAACAGCAGCATTCCTTTTTAAACTGTTAGGCGCCAGCCAAGCAGCAGAATAAAAAAAACAATGTTCAATACCACTAGCAAATAAAACGTTAGTTTTTCGAAACCGGTTTTGATTATTTGTCGTATTATACGTGCGTAGTGAGTCTGTTATCTATCAAGTGAATCCCCGACTCCGTTATGTAGCCCGAAAGACGAACAAAATCAATTTATCTCGAATATATTGAAGAGTACTTAAAATCCTCCACCCCTTAGTTTGTGCCATCAATATATTACATAGTGATCAAAATACCCCTTTTTAATAGACATGTCAGTGGCGGCTCGAGATCCGTGGGACTGGGTAGGCGACAAGTTTTAGTTGCATCTGTTTGCCTCCTCTCCCCCCCCCCCTCTAAATTTACATAATACCGTAAACCGTAACCCAGTTTGTAAATATACGTTATCTCTGGGTTAAAAACATAGCACAAGAATATTTAGGACAAAACTATAGCAAAACTAGCAGCATTCAACGTAACGACATAATGATTGACATAATGTACAAGCAGGTATAATTTTTTTTATATCCTCAGATACTAATTTTTGTAAGTACTTTGATAAATAAGATAGATAATAGTATCATGGAGTACATCATAGGATTTTATTTTATTTTATTTATTTACGCAAACTTAAAAATTCGTAAGTATGTAGACAATTAAATTTACAAAGAAAAACAGATTCTCTTATTCATATACATATTTCGAGACTAATAAAAAAGGAAAGAATAATTATGTTTTACATATTAAATTGATGAGTGGACCTCTTAATAAAGAAAAGTTATTTATTATTATATCAGTAAAATCACTAGATTGTTGAAGGACTGTGAAAATATCTATTTAGAATGAAAGTAAGGCAAGTGGCGATAGACGTTTATGTTTCATAAAATTTCTACTGTAAATTTGAATGCATTTCAAACATGAAAAATGTCTCTCAACCCAAGTACTTGTAAATGGTCTAGTAACAATCAAAACAAACCATTTTCGACTCTCTGGAAATATATTTCCAGAATCATTCTTCTTAAATTATTTTATAATCGAAAATTTTCATATCTATTATTAATACCTGCAATTTATTCATTAATTTATGTTGGTCAATAACATTGCGGTAAAAGTTAAATCAGATATTATAAATGCTTTAGAAATTTGTTATGGTATTCTTTAAATTTCTGTGAATCAGCAATAGATAAATAAAAATAATTAAGACATTATCTGCAAACTTTATTTCTAAATGTATAACAATGTTATCTAATATTTCGTAAAATAAAATAAAATTCGCAAAGAAGTTTTTTGACTTCCCCGTTTTATTAATATATCGAATTGAAATAGCACACTTTTCTGTATGGTCTGCTTGGGCGGAATAAAACAACGAGCTTTTTATTTCGGATTCTATTAGTTCTGTGGCGTGTTTTGAAATACAACCGGTTATATCATTTTGAATAGTCTTGAACAAACCCGAAAAATGTTTCTAATCTGCTGTAAATGTTTTTTGAATCTCCATATAAAAGTTTTAAATACTATGTATAATAAATCATATAAAATATCGGGACGAAATATCCTTCTAACTTCTAAGCCTACCGAGCTCCCGCGACTTCATGCAAAGTGCAAAGGCGATCGGAGATTTCGCCTAAGCTCCACCCTAATACGATACAACTCAGACTTACGTCACGTCGGGTCGCTACCGCACGATAAGTTACAGGGCAGAATCATACAGAAGACTGCCGTACGTCGTGCATCGACACTGATAACAGGCAATATAGAGAAATCGCCGAACAAGGGCGTGGGCAATATGCACACGGTCAAAATTATTTTGTTTTCGTACGCCAACGGTAGTGATTATTTTAATATAGAAGACCACAAATATCAAATTCATATTGATTATTACAAAACACTAACGTGTATTAACAGTATTTTTGTGTATTGGCAAAATTAATAGTAAATCTCGTAGTAAATAATGGAATGTAATAAACCGCTTAAATTCTGACAAAATTGTAGGATAGGCGCCGCCTACCTTGCCTACCCTGACGAGCCGCCACTGAGACATGTATTCGATGACATCTAAACAACTGCAAGGGATACATATATATAATATAAAGTATTACAAAATTGGTTAAATTTTATTAAAAAAAACATATTTTTGTGTTAGTCTGAAAATTAATCGTTTTATTTTATGTAATATTAGTCTCATCTGTACCTACAATAAATTAATATTATGATACTTAGTAAGAAAATCACTAATCACTAAGCCAAACCAAACCAAACTTGAAGGTAATTATATTGATTTAGGTAATTTTACTAACATAACTTGCAGATCATCATGATTTAAGTTAAAAATATAGACTTAAGTCATAAAAACGACTTAAATAACGTTATATTGATTTAAGTCTTTACAAAAATGACTTGACTTGAAATAAAATGATTTAAGTCAAAGACTTAGCCTAAGAGCTGACGACATATTTAGAGAACATATTTTAGGCAAGCTAGAATAATTAAAAATGTATAGTTTATTAACTGGTGAACCCAGAATCTTAAGTCTGGCTGGGGGGTTGGGGGCCCCACCATAACATTTGCAAAAAAATAAATCCAAAAAACATTCTTTAGGCAACTTGAAATTTGTTTATTCTTAAATTTTAGCATCTATTTAACCTAGAAATAAGTATACCAGACTTTTTTTTCGGGTTTAAAGTGTAACCAGACCATTCCAAATGTTTAATTATTATACCTGGAAAACATACTTTAGGCACTCTAAAATTTTTACAGCGTGTTTATTAGATGATATTAAAAAATATGTGTTAATTGCCAGACGAATTCAATGGGATTTAATACTTGCCAGACGCGAATAAAGATTTTAAATGAGCGCGATAAGAAAGTCTTATGAGTATCTATAAGCGCGAGAAAGATAGTTTATTGAGACCCGGTCGGCAGCCGATGCGGCTGACGTAACAGCATTTTGGAGTCGTAAAAACTTAAAAAAACTAACTAATATTGAATAAATAAAAAGAAACATTTTTTAATAAAAATGTATGATTGAAATCCTTTCAATAAGAAGACTTTTTAATTTAAGTATTTTGTATCTGAAAGAATAAAAAGACGAATAATTATTTAAAAATTAGCATAATATAAAATATATTTTTTTTCAAACGTCACAAAAGTATAATTATTATTATACTTTTGTGACATATTATATTATTATTAATTTTTGCGACCTGATTGACAATATAAAAAAGTCATTTTAACACCTAAGCATAAAAGTAAAGCACTTTAACTTACTTTTTAGAAAGATTAACAATGGTAGGTACTTTAATAAAATTCCAGAATACTTATTTTTTTTAGCACTGTACAGGGTGGGTCAAATTCGACGCTTTTAAATGGAAACACCCTTTTCTATACGAGATAGACAAAAACTAATATCGGTGTCTGGGGCTCAATTTTTGTCAAAAACATGATGGTGAAAACCGCATATCGATATCTGTTACCGTTTCGGAGTTACGGGGAGTTTTTCAAAAATATGCATTTTTAACAAATAGCTGTAACTTTTTTGCTATCGAAAATTTTGTATTTTTATGAAAACATTTCCAAAGCACCTTTTTACGTAGAATCTAATGGTTTAAGTATAATTTTTTTAAAAATAATAATTTAAGAATTGTCAACAGAAAGTTTTGTATATTTTTTTGTATATTTTTAATTTATTGAAAAGAATTTAAAATTACCTTTCCAAAAATAGATAACTCTTAAATTATTAATTTTAAAAAAATTATACTTAAATTCTACGTAAAAAGGTGCTTTGGAAATGTTTTCATAGAAATACAAAATTTTCCATAGCAAAAAAGTTACAGCGATTTGTTAAAAATGCACATTTTTAAAAAACACCCCGTAACTCTGAAACGGTAACAGATATTGATGTACGGTTTTCACCATAATGTTTTTGATGAAACTTGAGCTCCAGACACCGATATTAGTTTTCGTCATCTCCCATAGAAAAGGGTGTTTCCATTTAAAAGCATCGAATTTGGCCCACCCTGTACATGGTACCCTTTTGTCGGGACTACGTTTTCTGGTAAAACCACTTCTTTAAATTTTAAACCATGTTGTTGGCGCACTTTAAAATGTTTTTTGCATTTTTGTAGTCTGCCTTCATCAAAAACAATAACTTTGTCACTAGTAACTTTTTTAGAAACTACACAACTTAAATGTTTAGTAGTTAGTAGCAAAATTAGTAGTTACTAAAATATTTATTTGCAGTAATTATTCTAAACTATTTACACTATGCCCGTCAATATTTAATTTATAAATACATATTTGTACATGGTAACTTAATTCCAACAAAATAATCTCTGAATTAAAAGCCTGCAAATAATTGAAATGAAACCGAAAAAAAATTGTTTTTATGAAAATTTGAAGTACCTACATACTCCAAAATACTGTTACGTCAGCCGCATCGGCTGCCGACGGGTCTCAATAAACTATCTTTCTGGCGCTTATAGATACTCATAAGACTTTTTTGTCGCGCTCATTTAAAATCTTTATTCGCATCTGGCAAGTATTAAATCCCATTGAATTCGTCTGACAATTAACACATATTTTTTAATATCATCTAATAAACACGCAGTAAAAATTTTAGAATGCCTAAAGTATGTTTTCCAGGTATAATAATTAAACATATTTGAAATGGTCTGGTTACACTTTAAACCCGAAAAAAAAGTCTGGCACACTTATTTCTAGGTTAAATAGATGCTAAAATTTAAGAATAAACAAATTTCAAGTTGCCTAAAGAATGTTTTTTGGATTTATTTTTTTGCAAATGTTATGGGTTGCGCAGTAGCGAAATACCCCCAACCCCCCAGCCAGACTTAGGATTCTGGGTTCACAAGTTATTAAACTTTATTTTTTTTGTTGTTCTAACTTGCCTAAAATATGTTCTCTAAATATGTCGCCAGCTCTCCGGCTAACTTATTAAGACTTAAATCATTTGCATTCTGATTTTAGAAATTGCTTAAGACTTCTTAACGTGTCTTTTTAAAACTGACTTGTTGCAGCTCTGACTACTGCCAACACTGGTGATGAGCAAATCCAAGACCAAGATTCGCATTAATAAATTAGACCTACATTAAATAATTGTTATCAGCTTATCTAAAATATTAGTACCCACCAGTTTGCATTGTAAATATCATAAATGCGCTCGTAATGATCCAATTACTATCTTCACCAGTAATATCAAACAAAGATGGCACTGAGTAATTATTTACAGTTAAGTTTTCCATTTTCTAAATTCTTTCTGGTTCTGGACAACTTTTAGATATAGACCGCAAGCTGAAGTAGGAGCGTGCACAAACTGATCAACAACATTTTAATATTTTATGAGGGTAATTTGTTTCCGAGTAAACTGATATGTTTTCAGTCTTTTTACTGAAGATAGGTTGTTAAACAGAATTAGCTTTATATATTTTTAATTAAAGCCGTATCTCAAATATAGCGAATGAAATCTGACGAATTTTGTTTATTATTGAGAATAATTTATGTATATTCTATTGTCGGTCATTCTGTACACTGGTCGAGTGGCTTAATCATTTGATATTACTGAAATGCATGCGATGCATTTACGAACAAATCGCATAATATGAATATGAGGAAAATTAATTATACAAAAGCTACCTTCTAGTTTCATATTTACTCCAGCACTTAATATAAACGATAGCAGAGCCTTTAAACGTGCAGTTTGTGATGGTCGTATATTTAACCCAGCTTATTAGTACAGTCAATCTAGCACTTTAACTGCCATCAATTTACCCCCGCTCTCTTACTTTGCCAGTCATAAGTGGTCCACTCGAAAAGCTTAAATTCGAAAATTCGTATCTCCCCACCCCACCGTTTTTGAGAAACTTAAAAAAATTTTGGATTCGATTTTCTGGCTGAACCGTATATAGGTCCTATAGAACATTTTATGGAACAAAAAATGAATAGAATTAAATTCTCTACATTATCATCTCTAAGTAACAAACCCCTAAAACTTACGAGAACAAAGTTAGAGGGCGCCAAAATCACCCAAACGCAGTTTTTTGCATGTTTCCGGGTGAAACAATTTTTTTTACTGTCGCAAAGTTTTTAAAATTAAAGAGCATAAAAAACCTACCATCAATTTGGTAGGTTTTTTATGTAACTTTTTTTTACGTTTCACTGTTTACGAGATATATGATGTCGAAGGGCGCAGCTGCCGCTCTGCTTATTGTCGTGCCCCTCCCGCTGGTCCGCATTCCAGCACTAACTAGTTGATCAGCTGATGTCTTTCGGCATTGTAGATGCGAGGGTTTTGACGTAGTACGAAATAGAATCCAAAAAATCGCAACCAAAAAATTTAAGCAGCGCACCTAAAAAACCTCAAAACAGAGAATGTTATAACGATCTTCAGTTCGAGTGAACATGATCATCCGCGAAGGTAACTTGCAGTACCCTATCGACCATCATTGATTTCATGAAAGGTGCATACACATTGTGGAAATGAATACAATATTAGTAACAACAAAAACAGTAAAACGTATATCCGGCACATCCGGAAATACCGAAGTTGACAGCAACTTTCTTATTTTAAATGGGAATCCCCATTTTTTAATACATACATAAATTCTATATAAAATATTATGAATTTTGATATGAAACACTCTATTAACTGTTTTTGAGAAAAACAATATTTAAATTTTTTGGAGGAAAAAAACTGCCTGTCAAAAAATTCGATATAGCCTAAACGACAAATTTAGTGATTACCACAGCCACTGTGGCATAAAGAGAAGACATGTGGCTATCTATTTCAAAAATTAAATTGTTCATATGTCATAATATTGGCCGTAGCTGTCATGGAATTGAGCGATTAAAAACTCATCATAAATCATTTTTTTCAAATGGAAACCCACTTTTTTTATTTCACTAGTGAAAAGGTTTTCTAATTCGCTACTTTTTGATTATACATGTTCCTATACCTAAAATAAATTATTTTTAAGTTATTTAAGATTTAGTTTTAAAGGGTATATTTTTTTGTTTTTTAACCAATAACTTATGACTTTAAACGTCACGCAATGTAAAACTATATCTGGCCATGTCATATCGCCATTAGATATCACTAAAATACGAGATATGTTTTTATAAATAATACACTTTATAAAAGTTTTACCAGCAGTATCTATAATATACAGAATTCAAATAATTAGTTTTTTGACAGAAGAAAATAAATTGTGTGATGGTTTGACACTAATGTCAAAGGAAGCTAGATAAAATCAAGAAAAAATGACACTTTAAAGCTAAATCTTAAATAACTTAAAAACGATTTATTTTAGGTATAGGAACATGTACACTCAAAAAGTAACGAATTGGAAAACCTTTTTACTACAGAAATAAAAAAGGTGGGTTTCCATTTGAAGAAATGATTTATGATGATTTTTTAATCTCTCAATTCCATGATAGCTTCGGCCAATATTCTGACATTCGAACAATTTAATTTTTGAAATAGATATCCATATGTCTTCTCTTTATGCCACTGTGGCTGTGGTAATCACTAAATTTGTCGTTTAGGCTATATTTTTTTTCTCAAAAACGGTTAATGTTAGGTATAGAGTGTTTGATATCAAAATTCATAACATTTTAGGAATAATTTTGTAATAAAAAATGGGGGTGTGATTGCCATATGAAATAAGAAAGTTGCTGTCAACTTCCGGTATTTCCGGAAGAGCCGCCATATTGAAAATATTTTTAATCGACAGATCTCGTTGTGAAACAGTAATGTGCAAAAAATCTCCGATCTAGATATTGTAGTTCTCTAGAAACTTCTAATGCACGCTCAGCCTGGAACACCCTGTATACCAACGTCCCTTTAGAGGAATCGTAAAGCTGCGTATAAATATGTCGAGACGAGTGCGAGAGACACCCGAGACGAGTCAACCTCAAGCGGATTTGAGGTTGACTCGTCATATTGGGACGGGGTCTGAGCTTCGAGCCGAGCCTATGCCCAGCCGGACGGCGTTGTCTCCGTTTTCTCCGGAGCCTTTGGCGAACCATCAAAAGGATTGGAGCGTCTATTTAACCAGTGGCGTATACACCGCGGCTCCGCGGAACAATTGCCTCGAATCTCAAGGGGCTCGGATTCCACATCCCATTTTTATATAAAAATAAATATTCTTTCCTTTATTTGTAATAATGTTAATAATGCATCCTAACTAGAAAGATGCAATTTTGTCTTCTCTAAAATAGTATAGGTAAGTTAGCCAAAGTAGGTAAATCTCATATACAAAGATTTACTAGTGATTTCTTTTATAAAAACATGAAAATTGAATAAACGTAATGAACTTTTCGTCGAGTTATTAACGGCTCAAACGTAAATTATGGGCTATTTCTGCTGAACGGAATTAAAGATGTAAAACAAGCTTCTTTACATATAGGATACATAGAAGATAAGAGAGGCAAATCGAGTGTGTTGAAAAAGGTGGCCATGCTCTCAGAAGTTCCTTACGGTACTCTCATAAATAAAGGGAATCGACAAAGAAAGGAACGATTCGATATAGAAAAATTCAGAAATTTGAACTATCCAGACTACTAAGAAACTTAATTTAAGGCAAATATGAAAATAATAAAGTTCCCGCCATAGAAATAATTAAAAAATACTCTCCGAGCTTTAAAAAAACCCTGTTCAGAAAGCACATTACGGCGAAGGTTTAAAAAACTGGGAATTAGATTTAAAATTATATACATAATAATATTTTAAAAATTATTAATAAGCGTGCTGCAATGATGGAAAGCCATAGAATAATAATGTAGCGAATTGAATACCTTGAAAAAATATACAACTTTAGAAATGAAGAAATGCAGATATATTATTTACAATATATGTTAGTTATTGGCATTTAAATGTAGATTTAAATTAATAATTTAAATCTTAATTACTTAAATTTCTAATTTTTTAAATAAATAAAGTCGAATTAGGTCTTATCTTACAGCGCTTTCAAATGGAACGGAGCGTCCGCGACTTCGAGCAAGTACCATGAGCTTATATGAACAATTTCACCTGGGTCGCGTATGCTCCGTCCGGAGAGCTATCTTGAAAAACATCCGTGCGGACGCTCTGCGCGTACGGTCCGCTCCATCTGAAAGCACTGTTACTCTATTTAAAATTTTTATAGATATACAAACCACATACAAAATATATTATTGAATAAAATAATTAAAGACTCAAAAAAACGGCACTGACAGAAGGCTCCGCCGCCGCCGCTGCCGTGCCGTTATCTCCAGGTATCTCAGTCGGCGTTCTCCAGTTTTTTTTAATGTAAACAGTCCAAATATAATTTAAATTTATCATGAATTCCTTTAATTTATCTAGCTTGTTTTTTACCTATTTTGAAATTAAACAAACATATACAGGGTGTTTCAAAAAACATGTTCCATCTCTCGTGGGGAAGTTCCTCACGTAAAAATAAGATTTATTTTTTATATCAACCAATCCAATTCTGCTTTGATTCGTAGCTACAGGGGGTTAAAATAGGGTTCCCAACCGTCCTCTATTCCAGAAACAGTCCTCTTTTTGATCTGATTGTCCTCTTTTCTCTCACGTATTGAAAACTTTGTTACATACTAACTTCAAAATCTAAAAAATATTCGTTTATCGCCACAATGCTTTAAAGAATTGTTAATCTGTGTCTTTTATGTAATTTTATGTTTACTTACTGTTAGTTTATGTCTTGAAAAAAAGTTTGTTGACAATGGTTTGCTTTATTTTAATAAGTTTTGAGTATAAATATTTTTGTGTATTTTAAATATTTATCGCATACCGTTTATATAACTTTTTGGTAAATTCTCGACATTTGAGCGACGTTTCAAAAATGTTTCGCCTGTGCCTTTTTTTATCCTCTCGCCCCTATTTTTTATTTTCAAAGTTGCCAACCCTAGGTTAAGTGTTTTATCATTTTCTTCCAAGTGCTTTTAGTAATTTGAGATCGTTTGATGACTGATTTAGTTCTGATCCGGGTAGTTTTTTGTATAAAACAGTGCCACCATCGTCGATTTTTTTCGTTAAATGCGAATAAGAAAATATCCTGATTATATTCTGGCCCTATCCCTTATTATTTTTATTTACAAGCGATCTTAAGTTTATAACATATACATATATTTTATTTAATTGTTAACATTAGGGTAGTTTTACCAATTGTGTATGTGTGGAATTCCACTGATATGTGTTTTAAGTTGTTTGTTAAATTTTTAAAATTTTTTGATTGTATTTTGCTCT